CTCTGAATATTATACTTTACAAAGTCTCTGAACAGACACAGTGTCTTTTCTTTCCTAAAGAATTACAAAGAAATATCATACAGTTTTTTATTCAATAAGCAAATTATTAATGGTAATAAAATAACTAATAATTATTAACTTAGCGGGATTGTATCCTGTAAGAGCAGTATTAGTACTATTATTCGCTATTATATAAGAAAACTGATCCTCAAAGAATTAAGGAAGCCACATAGCTGGTAATGGATGTATCTGTTCTATAGTTCATTGCTTGAAATTCATGCTGCTTCATTCTACCTCCGTGGATATAGGACTGGGCATGTCATTGCTTTAATTATCCAGGCTCCATATCAAGGGCTACTGAAACCATTTTCTGTATAAACTCAAAATAAAAACTCATCATATACACATAGGGAAAATTGTACAATTGTCAATTGGCAAGTTAGTATCAAACAAAAAGTTAACTCATTTTTATTAATACCTGGCATAAAGAAATTAATAGAGTAAAAAGATTTTTCCCTTGTCATATAAAGTTAGTCTGCCTCTATTTTATTTTATATAGCAAAAATCTTAAGGTAGTATTGTTCCAGGATTCACTTTTAAAATGTACTCTAGTTTATATCTTAGACTATACATTTAAAAAATAATGCAGGATGTATGCACTTTACTATCCGTTCCAGCCCCTTGAAATCTGCCTTGGTGTTTCTATACTTTTTCAATGCATGGTATCACTAATGCAAAATCCATACCAACATTATATAGTTTCACATTTGAGAATTTATTATGATTATTTAAAACCCTACTATTTCAGCAACTCATCAAATTCTGGGAATTTAAAAAGTATGTGACTAATGAAGTAAGTTAACAATGGTTAATAAAGTTAGCGGATTTCAAACCTTCCATTTAGAGATGCTTATTAAACCACAAGCATAAAAACCTGACATTAGTTATCTGCTATTTTGTTTTAAAGTCAAAGTGGTTTTGCTTTTGAGTGTTTGTCAGAGTTTTTAACTTACGTGTATACTTTATAATTAAAATTATAGTCATGCAGTATGGAAAACACTTGTTTTCAAGCATCTTCTTTATTTATGACTTACTAAAAAATAGTTATTCTATTGTTAATATTGAAACATATATTTTACTTCATCATATATAAGTAAATTCTACCACTATAAAGAGTAATTTTTTATGTATCATAAAAACATGGTTGAATTTATGTGACATAAATCTCATGAGGCTGTTAATTTTCACTTTATGTTTATCCTATGTTCTACCTTTCAAAAAAATGTAGCAACTTAAGTATACAATATAGTCAATGAAAAATGTCAAGCTGTATTTTTGTTCCAGATCACTAAATACATCATCAAAAATTACTTATATGAAAAAATATTACTCCATTTAGTAATAAATGAGTTGCAAAATTGATGTCATTCAGTAGTCAACTGACATGTGAAATAGCAAGGCTATATTGGTGAATAATATAGACATGATTCCTGCCCTCATGAAGTTCATCAACTAGTAGAAAAGATCAATTATTAACATTTATCATTGAAAGAATAGTATAAGGTGCTACAGGGATATACAGAGGGTACCAAAAATATGCATATACATTTTAAGAAAGGAAAAAACTGTATTAAAATTGCAGATGAATACAAGTCACATTTGACTTCTGCAATTACAAGAGGTGCTCAAAGTGGTTACTGTCAGCATCCAGACGCCTCTGATTGTGGCAAATTAAAAGTAATACATAGATTACATCTGTTAAAATGTGCATACTTTTTTTTGGCACCCCCAGCATAACTGATAAACGTAGGTCAATTTGAGTACTAAGGTAAAAGTATGAGTTGACCAGAGTGAAGTAGAGAGCATTTCCAAGGAAAAGAGGTGACATTTGCAAAACCCAGGTTTGAGAAAGAGCATATAAAACATTCACATTAGACAACCTAAAATATTTGCCATAATATCAGAATGAGGATAGTACAGTGAAGAGAAGAGAAGTAGACAGGGGTCAGACCTCCTGGAATCTTAACTGTATGTTAAGGCATTTGATCATCATCCTAAGAGCAAGAGAAAGCTACCAAAATGATTCAAATTATATTCACAGAGGTCATTTTTGTATAGTGTGTAAAATGGGTTAAGAGGAGTCAATTATGAATTCAGAAAGATCAGTGTAGAGGAACTACAGTAATCTAGATGAACTATTACACTTGATGTTAGTCCCGATGAATACTTGGACCATGCAGTGATACAGGAATGGAAAAAAGTAGACTGAATCCAGAGATAGCAGACAGAATTGACAATAATCAGTGGTAAATTGGAAGTTTAAGGAAAGAGAAATCCAAGATTTTTCCTAGGTCCCTAGCTAGATCATGGGGCATTTGATAAGATACACAGATGTCAAAGGAGCAGTAATTAGCAGGAAGAGAGGAGGAGGATGAAAACATTTTTAATTCAGTTTAGAGCTCAGAAATTGTAAATAATTTTGAAGTGTTGATGAGATATGTAAGTGCAGATATTATATGGACAATTAAGTGTGTGGAGTTCAGAGGAGAGGTCTCACCTGGAAAGAAATATTTGAGAACACTGGATACAGAAATGGTCATGTTTAATGAACTGTGTTTGTTGATGAGCTCTACTAACGTGAGAGCAGAAAGAGGAAGGTGGCTTAGATGTCCTATGTCTTTTCAAAAAAGAAAAATGCAATATTTCAAAAGATGCAGAGAAACTGATGCTCTGAGGCATGAAGAAACCAGAGAATTGAGGTCTCCAGAAAGCAAGGGGAACAGAAATTAATGAAAAGGGGAAAGAACGATTTTTGTCCAATGCTGCTAAGAAAGAAAGTCCAATAAGAACTCAAAATTATCCTTTTGTTTTTAGTGACAAAACATGAGATGTTTGTTATCTTTAGCAAGAAAGTTGGTAGACTGAGGATGTGATCAGTACATAAGAAGGGGAAAGATAAACGACTCTTTAGAGAAATTTGGCTGTGAAATGGAGAAGGGAGGTAGGGCTGTAAGTAGTTAAAGGAGGTTGTAAATTACAGAAGAGAATTCTCGGGCCACCGACCCCAAGATAGGAGAGAGAGAGAGATTTAAGTTTGATGTTATTAAGAGGCCAATAGAGTGGGAGACATTAAAGATAAGAGAAGGAAGAGATAAGAGATTGTTGAAGTATTCTGGAAAGAAGGAAGATATCCAGCATTTAGGTGGAGGGATTGTAAACTTTCCCACTATAACAGGAAGGAAGAAAAGAAAGGTTCAACGTTGAGAGGTTTGTTGATTTGTGATAGGAGGTGGAGATATGGTAGTGTGATGCTAACTCTTTTTCTCTAAAGTAGACAATAAGGTCAGCTTGAAATGGAGAGGGAACGAATAAGAGGGTTGGAAGTTGGGGGAAAGTGGAAAATATTTTAAATAGTCTTTGCAGAGAGGAGAAGATGGAGCCAAGTGGTAAAATAAAGGACTGTGTTGAGTACCATTGAAGTTGGTACCGTAAATTTAGAGTGGTGCCAACCTGCCAAGGGGGGTTATTTTCCCCCGTAGGACCTAGCAGGCCAGCAGGCACAGAGGATCCTGCAGTTTTATATACTAATAGCATGTGGTCTTTAATTTTGTCTTACTTTGCGGGTTGTTTTTAGCAATAAAAGAAAAACATGTATTTCTTCTTTGAAGTGGTATTTTGTGTGTGTTCGCTAGTTTGTAGTGCCCTCACGTGGCTGATGCCTGCCATTTGCTTAGGACTGTTTTCATGTGGATGCATTCGAAGTGAGAATGAAGCCTGAGCCTTATAGCACTACTACTAACAATAAAAAAAGAATTACTTATTTGACTAATACCAGGTATAGGTACAAAAAAACTTCCTTTTTAGAACGATACAATATTGGCTACTCACTGCCTGGTTGTACTGCACTTGAAATAGCATCCACATTTTGTTATGTGTAAGTAATGTGATGATTTATAACCACAAATGAAGAGTGAGAAGAGATAGGAATAGCATTTATTCCTTTTTTGGGGTTTTGTAATTATGTCTGAACTCACATCGATAAATGGCACTACTTTACGTAATTGTAACTGAATATTTATTGTGCTTTGTATTAAATATGAAAGAAAGCCATTTCACTTATCTGACTACTGAATATTTTCTATATAGGGTTGGTTTCTTTTCACTGTTTTTTCAATGTGAAGGAAAGTGAAGGGCATTGGCTACACCTTCAAAGGCAAAGTGGAGTTTGGTGAAACAAACCAGATATTTGTTATATGCTGTGTTCTCTATGATTCATGAAGTAAAGAAAGTTATTTATTGAGCATCTACTATGTACTACTATGTACTAGGCCCATTGAGTTGCAAGAGATTTGGCATATTTTAAACTAATTTGATCTCCATAGCAATCCTGTGAAATGGTTATTTTTTTTTCTTTCTTCTCTAGCCAAGTCAGTCAAGATTCAGAGAACTTAGGTAATTTTGCCTCAGTTACAAACTCAAAAAATATCAGTACTAACACCATTGTCTTCTCTCACAATTCAGTTTTAAGAGCAATAATAGTATATTATACATTCCATTTAGAAAGAACTTTATTTTATAAGACATTCCACCAAGTAACCCTTAGAATGAAGTTATAATACATGCAATTAATTACTTGAATTCTCTTGTTGAATTTTTGCCAGAATTTGCATACATGCTGAACTTGCAGTTCTGTTGTTCAGTTGAGTCTTTCATTAAGAAAGCATAAACTAATAAATTATTCACCAATTAACTCATTACTTTGCATTGAATCTTTTTAATTACTCAAAGTACCTAAATAGTTGGTGGTTTGGCCCAAAGACATGGTCTAAATATGAGGTATTGAGTTTCAGAAATGGAAAAAAAGCCAATGAGAAACTGATAAGCAACATAAAATAATAATAAGCATGAAATTTTTACACTTCATGGTGGTGAAGGCATGATAGTGCATGCAAGTGGGATTTTTCCATTGAACTTTGTCTTCCTTAACGATAGTCTTCTACTTTATTCAATGTGCTCATTATGTGCACTATTCTTACCAACTGTGTATTCATGACCATGAGTAACCCTCCAGACTGGACAAAGAATGTGGAGTAAGTAGAAAATTTAGAAACATTATTTCAATATTGGCATCCCTTTATGTTTTAAGTTGGGCTTCTAACTTCTTAAGCCCTCATCTGTTTCTTTAACACATCATGCTAACTTCTCTAAAGCAGACACTGATTTAAGTTCATTTCAGCCACTAATTTTCTCTAAGACAAAACTTGCAGTGGCTTACTATTTCTCAATTTACTGCACCAGTTTGACTGCCAACAGTGTAGCCCTTTATCTTCTTTGTGAGTCTTACACTCTTCTGAAGATCACCAGTGACTTCCAAAGATCACCAGTGATTTATTAATATCTACTGACAAAAATCATACCTAGTTTGTATGTTTCTTTTTTCCTGGCTATCACAGTTCTATGTTTTTCTAGTATATATTTCATTGTCTTTTAATGGTGCATATTTATGAAACACAAATGATTCATTCGTTTTTGGTAACACTTAAATCAGACAGAAAACTAATGTATTTTAGCTAATATCTTCATCTAGAACCACATTGTTTGGATTCTTTAACTTAATTAATGTGGGAAGTGCAATGTTTATTTACAGTAAATGAGTATGTCTTTCAGAATTTAATTTTTTTTTTTTTTTTGCTTTAAGCCCTGTTAAATTCTGTATCATGGGATCAGACTTGGAAGCCTCTAATTTTTGTTTGTTGTTTAAGTCACCTTTGAGTGACTTTGAGGTATATACAAGTAAATTACTAGATCGTAAATGTGAGCTTGACTATTTCTCTCTCAGGTACACTTTTACAGGAATTTATACTTTTGAGTCACTTATTAAAATACTTGCAAGGGGCTTTTGTTTAGAAGATTTCACATTTCTACGAGATCCATGGAACTGGTTGGATTTCACGGTCATTACTTTTGCGTAAGTATCTCAATACATTTTCTATCCTGGAGGAGAAAATCATTGGTGGGGGCCTATACTGTATTTTCCTTGGTGACTTCCCTTGACAGAGCAAGCATTTTTCATAATTATATGAATTTAGCATATTTTTCTTCCAATCAAATTATTTAATTTGGAGAAAATATGAACTATCATAGTAAATTACATGACTTTGGTTCCAATTAGCACTGTAAAGTAACAAAATAAAGGTTCCCAACTACCAGAAATTCTGATTGATGACAATGCCATTTTTCTCTTAATTGGGAAATCTGATGGCAACACTCATTGAGGTTGAAAAGGTCTTGATGAAAGACCGACGTAGACTTAGATTTCCCTAAATTCTGAATAACTCTGATTTAATTCTACAGGTATGTAACAGAATTTGTAAACCTAGGCAATGTTTCAGCTCTTCGAACTTTCAGAGTCTTGAGAGCTTTGAAAACTATTTCTGTAATTCCAGGTAAGAAGAAAGTGGTATAAGGTGGTAGGCCCCTTATATCTCCAACTGTTTTTTGTGTTCTGTCATTGTGTTTGTGTGTGAACTCCCTATTACAGATATGTGACAGAGTTTGTGGACCTGGGCAATGTCTCAGCGTTGAGAACATTCAGAGTTCTCCGAGCATTGAAAACAATTTCAGTCATTCCAGGTGAGAGCTAGGTTAAACACCGAGGCTGAATTTAGCTACATTGGTGCTACAGTCACAGCATTTGTGCAGAAGCCTTGTTGCTAGTCGCATATTGCAAATAACTGTGTAAAAAAGCAAGAATCGGTACATCATCTTTTGGATGGATTTGATTCTTTGCTTTTTACTGGTTGCTTTCTTTAAAACTATTCTAAATCAGCCTTTGAGTTTAACAAGTTTTGCATGAGGCATTTGCAGCAACAGGCTACATTGGTTTGCATCCTGTAACATCAAGCTTTCCACATAGAAGCTAAAACATGAGACATTCAAACTGATGCAAATTTGACCATTGAGGCCTGAAACTGGCAATCGCTTTAACTGCAGGTAAATGGAAGAGCAAAGGGTAGCATGAGTGCTGCATGGGGCTCAGTTTTCAGATGTCTTCCTTTTTTTAACCCATACTCAAGCTTGCACAATTCACGAATATGTAACTTCATAATTCAGTGGCTTCAAGATTTCTCACTACTCTCTTCATATAGACTTTTCTAAAACCGATAAGGGGTTAGGGAGTAAGACATCTGCAAATAAAAGCAAAATATGTACACAAGGTTGATGTTTAAGCATGAATAATAAAATCGTTTCTTTTGCTCTAAGGAGTGTTTGGAAATATACATTTGGTTTGTTTTCATTCAGTTTCCTAATGAACATAGAGTTCTGCTTTCATTCATCTTCACCAGCTAGCAGGCTTTTCATGAAAATGTTATTCAGTCACAAACATTAAACTAATATTGCTGGCATTCTGCATGACATTTTAATTTTCCAGGACAAGCTCATGATATGTTTTGCCTATGAAGTAGCTGTTGAACGGTATATTTAAATTTCTCCCTCTGATTTTATCTGTAGGCCTGAAGACCATTGTGGGGGCCCTGATCCAGTCCGTGAAGAAGCTTTCTGATGTCATGATCCTGACTGTGTTCTGTCTGAGTGTGTTTGCACTAATAGGACTACAGCTGTTCATGGGCAACCTGCGGAATAAATGTTTGCAATGGCCTCCAGATAATTCTTCCTTTGAAATAAATATCACTTCCTTCTTTAACTACTCATTGGATGGGAATGGCACTACTTTCAATAGGACAGTGAGCATGTTTAACTGGGATGACTATATTGAAGATCAAAGTAAGATATACTCTTTTAACTATTCAGTTGTTTAGTCCTTTAAATGTCAAAAACGATATGTAGTAGAAATGATCTCAGTTCGATGTGAAACAAAAAATTTAGAGTAATGTAAGATGATGGCTTATACATGTAATAGAGAAATTGAATAATAGCATTCCTTTTTTCATATCTGTCCATTGATACAATAAAAGTTGCCATTTGAAGTGTATTATCTTTTTCTAAGCTAGTGTTGGAAGTAATTTTATATTCTGCATTATAGAAAAATGTTTATTTAGTAGGCATTAATCAGGCATTTTCAGTCATCTTAATAAATAAATCAGTCATTTCAACTGTTTAGTGTGTTCTACTGAAATGTGCTAAGAAGACTGGGTGGGGTTGGAATAATTTGGTCCTGTTTGGTTGACTCGATGTATGTATTGAGTACATATGATGTATCTGGAAATAGAGAAACCATTTACCAAGATGATATCAGAATTTGTGTACTCCTCAAAGTTAAGCAACACTGATTCAGCCTCACACTTACTTATATTCCAGTTTGTCCCTCTGGTGCCAGTCATTGTACTTCTCAGAGGAAATTAAGTTAAAATTGGCAGAAAAAAAAGTTTGAATCTATTTTGAGTCTAGGCCAAAAGTGTTTGTAAAGTAAAATTTTATTTGCATGGAAGCACCAAGAAACAACAAGGCCTTCTTCTTTCTTACTCTTTGTGCCAAGCAGGCAGCCTAATTTTGCAGCTCTTTCTTGAGGTACTCCAAGCAATTTGAGTTTATATATGCAATAAATTCTGATATGGGAATACTATCACTTTTATTCATTTGGGAAATTTTTCTTTTGAAAGTAGATTTTCTAAACATTTGTATAATCAAAATGCTATATTTTATATTTGTTTGATGTTATGAAAATCTCTTCAGTTAACCATATATATTTATTATGTCATCCACTTTATAATGATTGAAAACATTTGTAAGTTTTGCTACCTAAACGTGATGACTGAAGTGTTTTATAGGGCGTTTAATGAGTATTTCTCTTCCTTCTTCTTTAAATAGGTCACTTTTATTTTTTGGAAGGGCAGAATGATGCTCTGCTTTGTGGCAACAGCTCAGATGCAGGGTAAGTGATGCTTCCTGTTGAGTTTCAGTCCGCCCCGCCCCATCAGCTGCAATGACCTGCCACCTCCCAGCCATCTGATCCCAGCTCAATCCTTATTCAAAGCTCTCCACAAATTCACGCTGACTCTCATTATAGCCCAGATGAGCTTCTTTGCACACTCATATGCAGCAATTACTTTTCCATACTGGATCCCATATAATCTTCCAAATTAGTTCAATGGAAAACGGAAAGAAAAGCAGTACATATACATAAGAAGTTTAAGTTAATAGAATTCATTAGCATGTAATTTTATGTGTGACTTTTTATATGTACTAAGGTGATCTCTGTGGTTTAAAAGGTAAGATCTCTAAAAATAATGTCAATTTGAGGTGTGGTGAGTAAATCTGTGTAGCATATTTTAGCAAAGTGGTCATGAGTATAGAATGGAGGGTCTGCATAGATTTAAACTTTGACTCCACCGTGTCATGTCAGCTCTCCTTGCCTTAGTTTCATTATATGACAAATGGATATAATAATAGGGCTTCCATGAGGATTCAGTAGATTAATAAATGCATAGCTATTGGAGGGCTCAATTGGTACTTTAAGTAATTATAATAGGCATCATGCCAACATTTGTTATTAAGAAGCATTGTACATGGAACTAAAACCTAGGACAAATTCAGAGAAATTGCTATCTTTTCCTCTTCAGCAAGACTTCAAAATCATAAAGTTCAATGCTTTTCCTATGGAAAGTGATACTGTGGACATTAGTAACTGATACCTGTAGCAAAATTCCCAGTGATAGCAGGCTTTGCAATTGGTGCCTATGATCAGTATTGTGCTGCCTTTGTCTCTGGATTCCAATGCTAAGTAAAATAGATGGATCTTAGTTCCTTGTCGGTACTGTACTAAATGCTTTACATACAATATCTTCTCAATGCTAGCAAATTTGTGAGGCAGGCTTTTTATTAACCTTTTCTTACATATGAGGTACCTGGAGATTAACAAGTTTAGAAACTTGCCCAAGATCATTCAGCTCAGAAATATCCGCAATGATATTGAGGCTAGGCCTGCTTGATCTTTAAGGTCGTAGTATGAACCTCTTCACTTCTTTTCCCTGTCTCCACACTCACACACATTTCTGCCTCAAGCCATCTTCAGTGGAAATTAACTTTTTTCCTATAGATTACTTGTCTATTCATGACTACAAGTCCCAAAAGATATTAATCATGACATGATTGCTTTTATATGGAAACATGACCATATAACAGTGACATTTGTGAATCACAGAGGAGTCCGCAAAATATACATAATAGATTCTATTAGTATATAAGTCAGTCCGCATAATGTTGGGTTAAGTGTTGGGTAAGGTATGAAAAATCAGTTTTTCCTAGTGTTCATATAAAATAAAAAATATTGGCATCTACAAAAACAAGAAAGCCAACTAGCAGATATGTGGTTACTAAATTCCTTTTTTTTCTTTATCCTAATTACAGTCAGTGTCCTGAGGGATATATCTGTGTGAAGGCTGGCAGAAACCCCAACTATGGCTACACAAGCTTTGACACCTTTAGTTGGGCCTTTTTGTCTTTATTTCGTCTCATGACTCAAGACTTCTGGGAAAACCTTTATCAGCTGGTAAGAACAGATAAAATGATTTTTCTGGGACTCATAAAATACTGAGCTTGAGAGAATTGCTGTAGAATACTTTATTACTTAGTGTGGGCTTATAACATCTATATAAAATTTATTAAAACATCTCTTCTATTTTGCAGACACTACGTGCTGCTGGGAAAACATACATGATATTTTTTGTGCTTGTCATTTTCTTGGGCTCATTCTACCTTATAAATTTAATTCTGGCTGTGGTGGCCATGGCCTATGAGGAACAGAATCAGGCAACACTGGAAGAGGCCGAACAGAAAGAAGCTGAATTTCAGCAGATGCTTGAACAGTTAAAAAAGCAACAAGAAGAAGCTCAGGTATAGTTAGCAAGCATAAAGCCCTTTTGTTAAACAACCGTTTATCACAATTTTCTGACCTGAACGTTGAGGTCAGTTCATGGTAGTTGACATTAGAAATGTGTTAAGAGTCTGCTTGCTTATTAGGAAATTATTACTTTATTGTGGTGATCATTGTCAATACTAATGATATCAAAACACGGAGAATTATAATTGCTTTATTGACTTTTTTTGCCCTTGTGACTCCTTGAAGAAATTAACTATTAACAACATCCTCATTTATTCAAGTTCACAAAGTAGGTAGACCCACATGCCCTCAATTGAGATTGTCTCTTAAGGGAAGAGAAATTCAGTTATAGCTTCTTCTTCATTACAGTATCACTGGAGATGGGAAAGGTGAGAAAATCAGAGTTGAACTAAAAACATTATTTCATACAGTCTGGAAAGGCAATAACTTAGAATATCTGTTCTTCTCTATATTAAGTGTACAAATGGAGGTTTGTGTGTTGCATGAGGAAATCACTAGTGTGCAAATATACTAAAAACTAGAATTCTCTGCCTCCCATTCTTTAAATCCTTTTATTTTGACTTAATAAGTCTTCAAAATTGGATAGGAATTTATCTATTTATATTTGCTAGACTTAATGGCAATAGCTAATGCAATTGCCTATTTTTTAAAATCTTTTCTTGCGTGTCGAATATAACTTCCTTTTATTCTGAAATATTCTCAAATATGTAATGAAGGTGAGACAAATAAAGTATATTGAGGTAATCATAATGGCATTGAACCTTGTATTTTTTTATTTTAAAACTGTTCTATTATAATTTAAAAGTTCATGCAGATGCTATGATCTAGGATTCCCTGATAGGCAATCTGTAATATGTCTTGTTGTGCACTTCTTAGTGAAATACTCAATTTAAATCAACTGGAAAAAAGTCATTAAAATAAAATACTTGACTGAATTCAATTCAATAATTCAGACCAACACTGAAATTTATTGTCAAGTAGAACTGTAATGGAAGGTAAATGCCTATCATGTTTAAATAGAAAACTTTTAATTCCTAAGTTCTTTCCTCTTTAAGATATTACTCAAATAAAAAAATACTATGATCTTTGAGTGTCTTGTTCATATAACCAGATAATTAGAAAGCATAGTGTGAGGCCAGATCTTGGAGTTTCTCATCAGTCACTCGTATCATCTTCCATGTGTCTGTTGATTTTATTCTTTTATTGGTCTAATAACAATGTACTGTTTTCTAAAATATTGAACAAAGTGGAGAATTGTCTTTTTGAGATTATTATATTATAGCTAAATTAAACAGTAAAAGATCTTTTTTTTTTTAAGTTTATATGCCACTACCACTTATTCTGTGCTCTTTTAGGCAGCAGCTGCGGCAGCTTCTGCTGAATCAAGAGACTTCAGTGGTGCTGGCGGGGTAGGAGTTTTCTCAGAGAGTTCTTCAGTAGCATCCAAGTTGAGCTCCAAGAGTGAGAAAGAGCTGAAAAACAGAAGAAAGAAAAAGAAACAGAAAGAACAGTCTGGAGAAGAAGAGAAGGATGACAGAGTCCGAAAATCTGAATCTGAAGATAGCATAAGAAGAAAAGGTTTCCGTTTTTCTTTAGAAGGAAGTAGGCTGACATATGAAAAGAGGTTTTCTTCTCCACACCAGGTAAAAATATTAGATGGCATGAATTGTGTTTTCATAACAATTTTTTTGAGAATATGCCAAAACTTGAAGGAGATAAAACTATCCTTCACCTGAATGACACAATGCTTTCAGAGTGCTAATGATTATAAAGTGTTTGGGCTATCACCTCAGAGAATTTGTGAGTTTTACACCTTTTTGGAATCCCAGGAAGGAAATTTTGATCCCACTGGGCTTGGAAGGTTTGTGGTACTGAGGTTTTCTTAAAGACTCAGGCATTCCACTCGAGGAATTATCAGCAGATGGTTTCCATCCTTTCTTAGCTACTGTGCATGGATCCAGCGAACTGTGGGTTTTCTGAGTGGCCGATTCCCAAGAAGTGGATCAGAGACTCTTTCAGACCATCTGTGCGGTTGTTCCTGTCCATGTGTAAACTTCATATGTGGAGTGCTTTCTTCATGTTCTTGTTTCAAAGGGAACTGAAGCAAAATTTTTCTAAGAGCATATCTAAAATTCTTAGGTAGACAGGCACCAAGGAAGATTTGTGACACTAAATAAACAGTGGTGTTTAGTTGTTATTTGATTATCTGTGTCTCATGTGTCCTATTCTTTGAATGGGACTTGCATTCAAAGAATACTCTGTTTTTTGGTTTTTTTTTTGAGTTGGAGTCTCACTCTGTTGCCCAGACTGGAGTGCAGTGGCCGCTCCCGGCCACCGCAGCCTCGACCTGCTGGACTCTGGCGATCCTTCTGCCTCAGCCTTCCAAGTAGCTGGAACTACAGGTGCACGCTACCATGCCCGGCTAATTTTTTTTTGGATTTATTGTAGAGATGAGGTCTCGCTGCCCAGGTGGGTCTTAAACCCGCGGGCTCAGGCAATCCACTCACCTCAGTCTCCCAAAGGCACGGGATTACAGGCTAAGTCACCAAGCCCAGCTAATACTCTGTTTTATGTACTGCAGAAATGTTCACTGGATGCCTCTGGCTTATGTACCCATGCAAGCTGTTAAACTTTAAATTGAGAATCCTTAATTGTCCTTGAAATTACCAAGATAATTCCCAGAAATACGAAGTACCTCAGAAGACAGTTTCACCAGGAGTGAACCCTTGATATGGTTATAATAACAGTAACAATTACAACGACATTGACTACAGTGATCATGACTAATATTTACACATTGCAATAGAAATAATTTAAGCCTTCCACTACAACCCTAGGTAAATACTAATTTAATCAACATCCCCAATCTTTAGATGTGAAGAGACGGTGGAGGCTGTATTCTTTGTTGAGTACCTATTTTATGCTTGGCTTTTTTTTTTTCTATCATAATTAATGCTAACAGCTCTGATAAATAGTGTTACTTTCACTATTATCTTGGCTCAGTAAAATTAAATAACTGCCCAACGTCATATAGTTATTTAGAGCTGAGGTGACAATCAAATTTGACTTGGCACTGAAACCCTTGAACTTTCTGCTTTATCAGGCTGGCTATAAAGAATAACTTTAGGCCGGGCTCCGTGGCTCTGCCTGTAATCCCAGCACTTTGGGAGGACAAGGCGAGTGGTTCATCTGAACCTGCGGGTTCGAAACAAGTCCAGGAAACTCGGCTGGACTTCGTCTCTACAGTAAATCAAAAATTAGCCAGGCATGGTTGCATATGCCTGTAGTTCTGGCTACTTGGATGGCTGAGGTGGAAGGATTTCTGGAGCCCAGCAGGTCAATGCTGAGGTGACCTTGAGTGTACCACTGCACTCCATCCTGGGTGACAGAGTCAGACTCCAACTCAAAAAAAAAAAAAGAATCCCTTTAAAAATTGATGAGGAAATATACCATATGGTTAAATTTAAAGATACATATATCTAGCATTATACTTTCTCTTTATGCCTTTTATAATACAATCTCACATATCCTTATGTTTAAGATACATAGTTTTTTTGTAGATCAGTCTGATTTGTTTTAAAATTCAAATAATATTAGAAGATAGGATCAATTGGGGCTGAATTTAAATTTAAAGTAGAATTTGTTTTTGACTAAATGTCAACATTTATCCTTTCTTTTTCATTTTGTTGTCACAATAATTGTGATTTCATTGGTAGAAACATTCGTCAGTAAATAGGAATCCCTTACAAATCAAATCCCCTCTTAACAGCACTGGTCATTTTGAAAAGGAAGGAAAAGAAAGGAAGGGAGAGAGGAACAGGGAGCAAGGGAAGGAGAGGAAGGAGGGGAACAAGGTATGAAAGGAGGAAAGAGGGAATGCTGTTACCTACATTTGACCTAAATTTGCCTTAATTTGCAACTTTATATCAATAGGCACCACAGAGATTTCTTCAATTTGCTTTATTTCAAATTCAGTAGAACAATTCTAGGAAAAATGTAAAACCCGGAAAGGTTAAACTCTGTCCCCCCACCTTTGTTGTGTGTGTGTGTGTGTGTGTGTGTGTGTGTGTGTGTGTGTGTAAATTTTACTGACAAATATTTCTGAGTAGTCTTTTCTTTATTCCTATATATATAGCTATTTCCTAGCCAGTTGGACGTTATAAATGCTCACTGACTTAGAAGACATGGAACATCTGGCTAAAATGTATATTTGTTTCTTAAGCAATCTTAGTTTACAAATAAAGACTTTTATTTTGCCTGATTAAGAAATAGTCAAACAAGCGTCCAAGAGAATGAAAAGGGAGAGAAAGAGACAAAGGTAAAGGAGAAAAGAGAGGGAGGGAAGACAGAGAGAAAGAGAAGGAAGAAAGACACCACCCTGAAATCACACTAACCCCACTTTCCACTTTGCAAGCCCTGGAGGTAATACCAAAAAAGTCAAACCAGATAGAGGTACTTAACCTAGGTACAATGATGGAGAGGCCGTAGTTTTTTGTGGTGACATAATTGTGTTGGTAACCATTTCTCTGCTCATATTGAAAAAGATATACAATGTGAGCCTTTACTCAAAGTTTATAATTTCCTCAGTAGAGTAAGTGAGAATATGAAATATTTCTTAGACTCCAATTTAACTTGGTAGAGGGGAGAAAAGAAAGTCAAGAGCACAATCTTTAATCAAATTTCAAAATAATCTAGATATTTTCTCTGAACCCTTATAAAATACAGTTGATCTTCTTAGGCTATTTTCCTCTCTATTTGTGATAAGTCAGGAGTTTTGCATTTGGCATGGAGGGCTTTTCTTACAGGCCATATTTTATTTGTGTCACACATTTGATTACTTTGCATTTTTGTAAATAATGTAAGCAGTAAAAGTTGATGTTAACAGATGGGGCACAATCATTTTTCATATAGCTGTCATGTGTAAGCTATGCTCTTGGATGGTTTAATTCACCTTTGAACCTTGAGAAACGTGCAATTTTATAACTTATTTCCTTCCAACCCTTCTATGACTTTGCTTGAATGGAGCACTAGTAGTTAAAATATAAACTCTTTCTAAAAGGGACACATATAAATATTTCTTTATTTTTATTTTGCCAAACATTTGTTGTTTGCCTTGTACAAACCACAACTATTATGTCCCCATAGGCAATTCAGTGTCCCTTTTGAGAAGAGAGAAGAGACATGAAAGCAAGTGGCTAGTCTATGAGAAGTTTTAAAAAATAACTACTTGTATGGAAAACAAAGAATGACTCTTACTAATAAAGTTAATAATAAGATCAAAATGGGAACAAGAAAAGGGGAAGTGACTTCTGTTGGGAAGTAGAAAGTCTTCTTAGATGTGCTTCCTTCTGTCAATGATGAATAGGATCACATAACATAAGGTAGTGCTTAATGTTTGCAGGCATTTTTATAGACACTAAAAGACATTACTGAGAAAAAATAATTTTAATCAGAAAAGTAAATAAGCAGGAACGTAAAAAACTATACAGATGTAAAATAATAATCTTACTTGATTTTAAGCCTTTGGAGAGAAAGAATACTCATTTTTATCATTTAAGTGTTATTAATTTGATCAAATTAATAACACTTAAATGATAAAAATGAGTATTCTTTCCATTAACAATTGTAGAAATCCAGCTCAAGCTGACCAAAGTAAAAAAAGAGAACATATTAGGTCATATAAATTATATCTACGAGAAGCTTTAGGTATGGATGGATCTAGAAAGTCAAGACACATTATCATGACCAAGTGGTTTTTTCCATGTCTCAATCCAGTTTTCTTCTATCAGGTGGCAAAATGCTCACTGCAGCTTCAAATATATATCCGATATTTTTGGCAGCCCCAAGTGAAAGGCATCTTTTCCCAGACAGTTGTAAGGAAAAAGGTTTCTCTCAATGGACTAAGCAGCATCTCACACCCATCTTTAAATTATTATTATTTTTACATTTTTTATTTTAAATATGTGGGGTACATTTCAGGTTTAGGGATACAAATGTTCATTATGCAAATACGCTTGTTGATGAGGTGTGCCCCCTGCCCCTGGCAGTTTCACACTACTGCCAATCCCTTTCTTATAGTATTACGATAGTTGTAGAATTCACTGATTGACTAGGCCTGGGACATTGTCCCACTCCTGGATCCAGGAATTAGGGTTAGTGTCTTCCAAATCACCGGTCTGAGAGTTGTGGAGCATTTCTCAAGGACAATCCCGATACTGTCAGCAAAAGATAATTGGATATTGGGCAAGCAAAGCAGGTATTCACTAGAGTGAGGTTATAACAACAGACTAGTAACATACAGGAAGTAATTCATTCTTCTCAGTGCTGCTATGGCTAAGAAATATGTACACTGCAGTGACAAGGTCACCATTTACAAAATTATAAATGGTTGTGATCATATTCTTAGTGAAAACCAGGTTTTAAAAAAATATAATGTTCTTCAGATTTCTTGAGACAGACAAAGGAGTAAAAATCAGGGAATAAATCAAAGCATTATTTCAACTGGTGGCTTAATTTATTCATGAAGATCATTATAAAATATGCAAAGGGAAGTGGAGAAGCTGCCCTTTGTACTATAATTAAATAGACCTACTAGCAAGATTAATTTTATTTTCCTCTATGGTGAGATCTGTATCCGGGTACGGTCACTGATGAGCTCCTATTGACTGTAATGTTGTCTTCAAAAGATTTACATGTAGGTGTGTGTTTAATTTCTTACCATTGGATTGTTAATTGAAATTAGCTTCTAGAGAAGAGTCTAGCAAAAATATCAGTTCTAGGTGCCAGTAACAGGACAAAACAATGTTAAGGAGGCACTTCTATTATGGCATGGGTGGAGTAGAAGAAAATAAGAGAGAAGAAGATGGAAATGAAGGAGGGGAGAAAACAGGAAGGCCAAACAAAAGAGGTGGACCTTGTAGAAAGTGCCAAAATACCAGCAGTGGCTACCACAGGAGCACTTGGTTCCATCTGTCCAATGACTTATCCTTAGGTAAGTCAACGACTCAGAAACAATGAATGGAGTCATGTTTATCAGGATGCCAGCTCATAATTGTGTTCATCTGGTTTCTTTTCTTGTTATTCGTAGTCTTTATTGAGCATCCGTGGCTCCCTTTTCTCTCCAAGACGCAACAGTAGGGCGAGCCTTTTCAGCTTCAGAGGTCGAACCAAGGATATAGGCTCCGAGAATGACTTTGCTGACGATGAGCACAGCACCTTTGAGGACAATGACAGCCGAAGAGACTCTCTGTTCGTGCCTCACAGACCTGGAGAAAGGCGCCACAGCAACGTCAGCCAGGCCAGCCGTACCTCCCGGGTGCTCCCCATTCTGCCCATGAACGGGAAGATGCACAGCGCTGTGGATTGCAATGGTGTGGTCTCCCTGGTGGGGGGTCCTTCTACCCTCACATCTCCTGCTGGGCAGCTCCTGCCAGAGGTGAGGCCAAGATGGGAAGGGAGCTGTGGCTGGTACAGGCTGGAGTGTTTTTCCATTTCCACATCTAACAATTTTGCGGAGACTGTTGTTCAAAGGCCAGGAGTTTGTTCAACCAAGCTCTTAACTTCTCTTGTCAAATTGTTCTTTTCAGACTTTTCTACAAATTAATTAAAAACATAGGTTTGCCCTCATGGAATATAATTAGAAGTATTCCTTCATCATCATTACTACAATATAAAACCTGCCAAAAAAGCAAAGCTACAGTTTTTCAAACATAATGTTTGATTAATATAATTAAATTAAGTGCAAGGAAAGTACTGTTCACAAATTATATAAATACTCAACTTAAGGATCTTGTTATCATTGTTCGTTTAAAAGGAGAATCGAATACTTCCTCTTGTAGTACATCAAATTAATAGATCTAAATCCTATTGTTCAACATTGTCTCTCTTTGCAGGTCAGAGTGTTGTAACATTTTTAGACTCCACTCAAATGACCTCAACCATTGTAAATTTGTATAGTGAAGAAGCCACTCAAAAAGTACCTGATATGGAGTCATGTGTTGTAATCTTTAGAACAGATTTCAATTTTATGTTATTGTTGTGCATTCTTTTTATAAACAAAGTAGCCCCAAATCAAGAATATGGAAACGGGTTTCAAATAAAAACTAGACACTTATAGGGATATATTATTCACATTTATTTCATAAAACCTAAGATGCATTGGTATTAAAATTTCATTTGCTAGTATAAAAATATTCCAGCAATGTCATTTGATTATATTTTTTCATTTTCTGAATCACATTAAAATATCCTTTGTATTTTTAAAATATAACTCAATTTATTATAGTTAGACAAACTTTTTAAGCCACATTGAAATGGCATGGAGTTAGTTTCAGTCACCTAATAGAGGTATGTGTTACATTGGATTATAAAAATAGCTATTGATTTTCTTCATATATTTTGCATGGCCTCTCCCCACTCCTTTCTCCTAGGGAAGTGTCTAGGTATTCTGGAGTCAGATCAAATTATGAGAAAAATAAAATGTTATTGAAAGAACCAGGAGGAATGAAGAGGGAACATCAACTTTTTGTAAAAATTCATAGCTAACTATGTGCCAGACACTGCCCAAAACACTTTACATGTGTTAATTCATTTAACCCTCACAACAACCTTTTATGATAGTTACTAATATTATCCCCATTTTACAGAGGAGGAAACTGAGGCCTGTGCATGGTGGAGCTAAGATTTGACCCCAGGTATGCTGGCTACTGGACCTACATTCTATCCATATTAAAATATTGCTTTTTAAATGGAAAAGAAGAGATGGCTAAGGAAATAAAATAGAAAATTGGTTTCATTTTAGCCAATGTTTCTCTAGCTTTATATCACCCTCAAACTACTTATATAAGAATCTCCTGGAATGCTTCTTAAAACTGGAAATTCCTGTGCCTATCCAGACCTACTCAGACCAAATGCTGAGGATACCGCAGTCTGGGAATCTTCTTCCTTAACAACCATCCCACACAGTTCTTACACATCATAAAGTATATTTATCATTGATCTTGATAATTGTTAATAGGACAAACAAAAATCTACAATCAGTATGTATAAATACACAGAGAATGTCAGTCTGTCAGAAACTGTTTAACACTTAGTAATTATCACAAATTTCCCATCAGAGAGGATGAGATAAATCTCTGAAAGGTGAAGTTGGGGCCAATTTGAAGCAGAACCTAGTGTGATCTCTTTATTTTCCACTCCCTTGTCTCCCTTCTTCAATTCTACAATAGGTGCTTTGAGGCAGGGCTCTGCACTGTTGTGAAGATAAGCTGAAGGTCCAAAGAAAGTAGGTTTTTGGAGAATGCAGAGGGGAAATGAGAATAGAAAATAAACAACTGCAGGCAAATGATACCCTCTAAAGCACAATTCCCTGTTTTACACAGAAATTCAACTGAGGCACTTTGCCTCTCTCTGACAAGGTGAAATATTTTAAGTTCTGAGAGGCAGCCTTTTGATTTAAAGAGTTATATTTTCAAAAATGAGTTCTTTCTTTTTTCATTAACTTTACTTCTTTTGTACCTTACAATTAATTTTAGAGTGATCTATATGAATGTTTATCACCATTAGTGACAATCATATCAATTGAGTCGAAACTTTGGCTTTGACTATGTATGGATTAGAGGTTTTCAGGTTAAGAAAAACAAAATAACATTAGTTATTTATATCACAATATGGTCAAAATAGATGAACAGCATTCATATTGCCCATTCAGAAATACGGAAAATCCTCAGAGAAATGAAAATGACTTCTTATTTATTATTAACACACAGACCTGCATTTGAAATGCTTTAGTTTTACCCCCCTTTCCTGTAATAATTAACTTAATTGTTTGATCCCCTTTAGTAGAAATAAATTTCTGCCCATGTTAAAATCCTGGTAAGTTTACTTTAGGAGAGTATCAAATCATTGTATCATTGCTAAAAATCAAAGCCCCTCACATGGATGTTTTTATCTCCTAAGAGTTTCAATACCAAGTGTGGGTTGTTTTGTGGATAAAGTTTTGTAAATGTAAGAAAAAATTATAGATTAGTTCTAAGATTTAGTTTTATTATTTGGGATATTGGGAAATGTTATCTGTCTTTAAAGATTAAAAACATTTTACAACTAGAATTCACATTTTAGGGAAACTTAGGGGGAACTATTACTGATGTATATTAAGGAAACTTAAAACTTTTTCCATCTATTAAACCACATAAACATATGTCTATAAAGCTCTAATAACTTATACTGAGGGAAAAAAATCAAGAAACAATCTGTTTCAGCCTGAAGTCCTAGGTAGGACTGTTTGAAAGGTTATTTATACACTAGTAGACATGGTCCCTCCAGCACAAAGTTCTGGGACGGAGGAATAGGAAAGCCCATCTTGGCAAACCCAAGCATTCCCAAAAGCTGAGAATCCAATAGACTTTTAAACACTCCCCAAGAGTGATAATTCCAGCAACATCTTAATGAGTATTTTACATCTGAGAAAGCATGGTGAGCATTTAGTTAAGTAACACCTATTATAGGAATGCTTTGTGTTTTCTGCCCTCAAGATTAATAGTTATTTCATCTGAAATTTTGTTTTTAGGGTACCACTACTGAAACGGAAATAAGAAAGAGGCGATCCAGTTCTTATCATGTTTCCATGGATTTGCTGGAGGATCCTACATCAAGACAAAGAGCAATGAGTTTAGCCAGTATTTTGACCAACACCATGGAAGGTATGTCAGAAGTCTTATGCCACAGCCACTTGGTGCTTTGGTAATGATGAAAAGGAAAAGAAAAAGAAAAACAAAACACTTCCACAAATTCCAAGAAAATACTTCCTGACTTCATACTATATCATCATTAAGTATTTTACTAAGTAAAAGGAAAATTCACATCCAATATATGGATTATACTATTTTGTATAGGTTTTTTGCTTTTAGCCTCCAAAATGCTACAAATTTAAGGTATATTTGGAATACTACTTTCATAGATTAAATTCTAAACTGTTGAACTTGTTGTGTGCATGACATTGAAGAGTATGATGATAAGGGATTATCATTTACGCTGAAGCTAACCCATTTGGACTGTATGAACTGCTTGAGAGACAAGTTATAAAATCTTATTATTTAACCAGAAATATACATAAAAATGTGACTTAGGGTTTGATATTAACCTCATTGAAGCAAAATATTTACAACTTTATAGTCCTACTTTTGCCTCTCTCTGACCAAATTATTGCAATATAGCAGCATTCTCTTTGGTTGCAGATTATGTCTGAGTAGTTAACATAAGGTTTAGAAGTCTGGATCACATAATACCAAATTAAAGACTTCAGGGAGAGCTTAATCCGTGATCAATTTCTGCTCAATGTGTTAATTTGTGATTCTCAATTTCAGTTACCTCATCAATAAAATGTGAATAATAGTGCTTAGATATACGGGTTGTTGTAAGGATTAAATAAGGAATCATAGATAAAACATCTGTGTATTTGGCATACAGAAGACAGTTGATAAATATTATCATGATTAGTTGTATCATTGTTATTTTTGTTAATTCACATGTTTTTGCCTTTCCATACTGTAAGTGGATTCAAGCATCAATTTCAACTGCTTGGAAAGTATTTTCATGTAAAGTGTATCCTATGCCCTTCCCTTGCCTCCTACTCCTTCCTTTCTCTCTTTACAACTCACCCCACTCTCCATATCTCTTTCCAGTTGTGTGAGTGTGTGTGAGATGTGAGTGTGTGTGTGTGTGTGTGTGTGTGTGTGTGTGTGTATGTGTAGATTGTCAAAGGAGGAAGAGAAAATGAGAATGAAAACAAGAGAGAGAGTGAGCAGGTATACACATGCCTTTCTTGTTGATTAATAATTTCTCTTGAGATTGGGTAGATCCCTGGAATAATTCTTTTCATGCAAAGATCCCGTGATAATATGAAAAGCAATACTAAAAGCCTCAAAGTCACAGCCAGAAAAAAAACCTCACAGTGTAGATAACCATATACATCACAGACAAGTCAATATTCCAAGACCCAGTTTTTATAATGTCCTAATGCCGTATCAGAAATCTTTTCACTGATTTCAATGGATATTAAATTCTAGTACGTTCTTCCCCAACCTCGCCTGCGTTAGCTTGCACTCCTTCTTCCCCCCCAGCTGCCAGTAGCTTGCTCCTCCCTGTCCCTCCAGGTAAATCTTTTGAAGATTCTCTGGTCTTCTGCTCCTTGCCATAGCAAAACCACTGAGAGGAAGCTGCCAGTGGTTCTGCTACCGATGTCAGCAGCATGCCTGCTCCCCAAAGCAGGAAGTAGAGAAGGAGACAGGGTAAGTCTAAATCAACAGTCATACTTTGCACTTCTGGTAGCATTAAGAAATTACTTAAAACAAACATCAAACCACCACAAGATTGGACTTCTCCACTAATTAAGATATGGAGTTCAAAATGACTACCCATACCTCCTTCCATGAAATATGTCTCATGGAGTTCCTTAGGATGAAAAGGATGTCCTAGAAAGAAGTATAACCCAGGAAGTTGAATACTGAGATGTTTTTGTTTTTATATCTGCAGAGTTTTTGACTTTGTATTTTTTGTGAGGGACAGTGGCTATGCATTGTGTTTTTCATCAGTTAAGTGAAATGATAAGTTGACTTTTCTTTATTCAATTTATCAAAACACTTTGACTGTGACCTAGGTCAAGGTTGGTTATTAGCAGGATTAGCACATACATGCGTACTCAAGCCGACTTTACTATAGTCATTTTTTTCATTCCTGATAATGGTGGAAAGTTATCTTGGTTGACATAACCTATTCTTTCTTCTAAGCCTGATCATTGTTTAGTTCACCGTTCTTTTCTATGAACCAGGTTTGTTGATCCAGTTGGCAATTTTTGTTTTCCTTCTTTTTAACTACAGTCAAGTCTTCATTGTCCATGGTGATGAGTAACCTTGTGCTTAATGAAGCAGTAGTGGATGAGCAAAAAATGAATTGTTTGCTTTTCAAGTTTTTAAAAATGCAAACCATGTAGACATGTTTCCTGGTCACACCTTTGTGAAGGATGGTGGGAGGGTGAGTTAGAAGCACCTAAGGAGTCAAGGTGAGCTAGCAAAAGATGTAAATGCAGCTGTAAATGATCCTCAGTGTGGATGGTCCACACAGGAATAATGGAGAAGTGACTGTAGTTCTCCCTGAGTGCTTTACTTTGTTTTAAAGTATGAGATTCTCTTTTTCATTTTTGGAATGAATAATTGAATGATTTTATTTTAGAACTTAACTTTGCTCCAGTTTTTCCTAGTGTCAACATGAGCAACGCCTGCTGAATTTCTCCTTTTGAATTTTTATCTGATTTTTTAAATGTAATTTCTGTTTGCTTCTCTTCATCTACTAAATGATAGCTAGCATGAAATAAAAACTTATTATGACAGTATATAAAGTGAAATTTTATAGTTTCTCTTTTGTAATTTACTGTAAATAATAGTATGTCTTCTATTTTCAATGTAAATGTGAGGTTATTTGGGAGTTTAAAACTATCTACAAAATATGTAGTGTATGATAACTATATTTGTATTTTTCTCTGATTTACAAATAAAATATCCCTTATTGCTTATAAAATTACATATTAAGAGAAGTGGAAATAAACTATGCACTTGAAGAATTTCAGCATCCAGAGACAATTGAAGAATCTACCTTTAATGGAATTCTGTTAAAAAAAAAAACTAATTAGTAATGGTAAACTTTATAGTATTAGTTAGTGGCAAATGTTGGTCAGTTAAACACAAATTATTGGCTGTGATCATGATTGTCCATTTCATATGCTGGCTCTGTCCTTACAAGGTTTACTTCGTAGTAAGCCATGCCAGGCATGGACAGATATGACATGGCTGAAAAAAAAAGAAACCTTTGCTCTATTTTAGTGCTAAGAGGTGATGGTTCCATGTTTGGCACAACAGGCAATAGGGTATTCAGCAAGGATATTGGCAGAAAACAAAATAAAATCAGCATCTTTTTCCGACTCATAAGTTGATTAAAAGATCATTTTGTCAAAAGAAGATGGTAGATAATTTTCCACTTTCCAATTCCCCAAAATTCTTTGCCAGTATTTACAGAGTTTTGATATTTTGGGTATCACCTTAAAATTCTGTGCATTTCGGTCTTCTCTCCCCTGTTATTTAGTTAACATTTTTGAAATTATTGTACTTTTTTCTTAAATACATTTATTTTAGTATTACATTTTGTATCCTAAGTTTGGTATGAGAGTTCTAGAGTTAAGTATGTTAAAATAAATGCTTGCCATGATAATCTGTGCATTCCGTACTTGTTCCACCCAAAATCTTGCTGTATTTTAGCAGTAGTACTTGAGTGCCACTTTGTGAAATGATGATTTATACTAAAAGTGAGTTTCTTAGGTTGGAGTATTTCCTCCTCTTTTGTACCCTTTAATTAAATTTAAAAATGTAGAGACATCAAACTTTGTTGACTTTAATATGCAAGTCTATAATCTAATAGAACTTAATTTGAGACTTTTAAGTGAGGCTGGTGATATCAGCAACATTATCTTATTAGAAGGCCCCCAAAACATATGCAATGTAATAAATGGCAATTCAGCACAACTGATTAAGGTTTTTCAGTCATCTTCTAAGAAGTTTGATAACATGTATGCCTCTTCCTTTGTCTGAAACACAGATGGGCTTTAAGCATACTTATTGCAAATTCTACTCATTAGTTTCTGGTGACCTTCAAGATAATTATCAGAGAGTTAAATGCTGCAGATAGAATCCTGGAAACTATGGTTAGTCAAGATAAATTTGGAAAACTTACTAGTCTTTCTGTATTCATTCTTTCTATGACAGCAAGCCCATTGTAAGTTTGCCCCGTGCCATTATCAGATTGGCCCATAGTACCTTTCAACAACTTTAGATATTTAGATTTTTTTAAAAACTTACCTTTAATTTAAACATTGCTTAATAGAAAATAAACAGTTTTCATGAGAATTCTAACATTTTTTCTTCCAGAACTTGAAGAATCCAGACAGAAATGCCCACCTTGTTGGTATAAATTTGCTAACATGTGTTTGATTTGGGACTGTTGTAAACCATGGTTAAAAGTAAAACACCTTGTCAACCTGGTTGTGATGGACCCATTTGTTGACCTGGCCATCACCATCTGCATTGTCTTGAATACTCTCTTCATGGCCATGGAGCACTATCCTATGACGGAGCAGTTCAGCAGTGTGCTGTCTGTTGGGAACCTGGTAAGGCTCATCGAGAGTTTCTCTTCCCACTGAAAGAATTTGTGATTGCCTTAATGAATTTCACATGTCACTCTCAAACTAAATATCATCTAATTGGCCAAGTACATTCAGATAGCAAAAGTTTAGCATCCTTTTTTTAAATAACAAAATATATTGCTACCATTCAACACAGTGCAGGAGACTCAGTGATTTTATGTACAATTTGATTTAGAATTGAATTTAAATTGCTCATTTATTAGAAAGATAATTATGAATGATGGAAGAATTTGATTTATGATAACAAGATCCTGAGATATTTCTCAAGTATTTAGAAGAAATCCTTTAGGACATGTCTACATTTACCAAACTAATTAGAAGATATACCAAGTCAGATTATTTTGAAATATTTGTAAATACCTAAAGATGGATTATTTTGGGAGGAAATATGAGAGAAGGGATTATTATCATTTGTTTCTTCTATAATTTTAGGAATTTATAAATTATGAGTTCTGCATATATTTACATTAAAATATATATTAACATTCACTAGATACATGGTAGAATAATAGAAATGAAAGTAGAATGGCCTTATACAGAGAAATAAAATTAATAAAATCATGCAACAAAAATATAAAATGCTAATATTAAGTTCACATGCATCTTTTAATTTGATAAATAAACATTTAGAATGTATAAAACCAGTTATATATAGATGTAAATAATATGATCTAAAGTATTATATACAATATTTTTAGGCCCTGAGGTGGTCACTGTATTTTTAAATTATATTTCAGATAAGTCTTAACCGAATCAAATGATAAAGTTAACACACATTGACTTCTTATTTTGTATTAGGTACTGGACTAAATTGTTTATGTGAAATCTTTCTTTATATAAATTTCTGAAATATCAATCCTAATTATACTGTAATTGTCTATATTTTACAATTGAAGAATCCATATTTATGAGGAATTGATAGAGAAATGAAAGGTCTGAAAGCTACAGTAGACTCTATAGCTATTTCAAGGACTGTTGCAAGGTATAGTAAAAAATGATAGAAGCTTAGAGTAGGAAAAGACAATATTACCTTGTCCAAATTTTTACATATATGAGAACTTCTTCAATATTATCTCTAAAAAATGGGCAAGTGAAGCAAGGTACTTACTATAGGTACTAACCTGTCTAGATTCAGATTCTCAGCCAATGTCATTGGGACTCTGCTTATTCCTTACTTCTTCCTAATATTTTTTACCATCTCCCTGACTAGGTGCTTTCCTATTGTTGCCAAGGTTCTACCAACTTTTTTTTTTTTTTTTTACCAAGGTAGCTCCCTGAACAGAAAGATTGTGCTTCCTAACTAGTAGCTTTAATGAAGACCCAATAATTAAATATCACTGATCTGTTTGCAGTTACATGACCATTTCTAAGCCAGTCAGTCAGTCTAGTTCTAGGGTTAGAATGCCATATTTATCTAAATCAGAATCATATCTTATCATTAGAGACAGAGTAAATGAGTGGAATTATGAGGGAAAAAAGTAAGATACCATTACCAGAAGAAAGGAGAGTGGATTCTGGAAAGACATAAGCAATAGATGGACAATTCAAAATGGGTCTTCTCTTATGTGTTAAGGAAAGTAAGGTTTGTATTTGAGGTGAATCATGGAATAGTAGACAATACATAGGCATGACACACATTCTTTTCAAATGCCTATGGAACATTCCTTAGGATAAGCTATATATTAGGTCATAAAACAAGTTTTAATAAACGTAAAAAGACTAATCTCAAAGTATTTTTCTAATAATGAAATGAAATTAGAAATTTCTAACAAATAAATGTGGGACATTTTCAAATATGTAGAAATTAAATAAGTTATTCTTAAACAGTCAATGGGTTAAAGAAGAAATCCTAGGAGAAATTAGAAAGTACATTAAGATGACTGAAAATAAAAACATGCCAATGACTCTAATGGTGGTAGCTAAAACAATGTTTAGAGAGAAATGTACATTACAAATGCCTATGGAAAAACAAGAGCAAGTAAAACCCAAAGTTAGCAGAAGGAAATATATAATAAAGCATAGAAAATCAATAGAGAAAATCAAGAAACTCAAAAGTTGGTTATTGGAAAAGATCAACAGCCTTGATCTTGAAAATTTTAAGGAAAAACATATTCATAAGGAAAAACAGACAATGAGCAGGAAAATGTGAACTATAAAATAATAATCTAGAAATCTTAGAATTGAAAAGTACACACTGGGGAGGGAGGGGCACACCTCATCAACAAGGATACCTGCATAATGAACATTTGTATACCTAACCTGAAATGTACCCCATATCTTTAAAATGAAATTTTAAAAAAAGGAAAAGTACACATTTGTCAATATTTGCCATTTCTATTCAATCTTGTACTGAGGAGTTACCACTGGGTGGGTTTAAGAGAAAATTCAGATGTCAGAAGAAATGGTTGTTGAAACTTAAGCAAATTAATAAAAATTATCCAATAAAAATTATACTAGGGAATAAATTGAAGGGAAAAATGAACTGAGTCTGATACTACTGTGGGATAATATCAAGTAGCCTAATATTTACATAATGGGAGTATCAGAAGAAAAAAAGAGAGAATGGAACAAAGCAATTATTTGAAGAAACAATAGCCAAAAATGTCCCAAAGTTGATGAAAAACATTAACTTATATACCTTAATGTTAATTTATAAAATTTTGGTGAACCTCAATAAGAATAAATACAAAGTAAACTACATTTGGACACATCTTAGTCTTGCTGCTGAAACAACAACAAAAAACTTCAGAAGTAACTAGAATAAAAATAATTATATACATGGGGATAACATCTCATCAGAAGTAGTTCAGGCCAGAAGAAAGTGGCCTGATGAAGAAAGGAAGGAAGGAAGGAAGGAAGGAAGGAAGGAAGGAAGGAAGGAAGGAAAGCCTATTCTACAGATAGTGAAACTATTCATCAAAAATGAATGTGAATAAAGAATTTGAAGATAAACAAAAAACTAGTGATGTTGCCATCAGAACTACACTACCAGAAATGCTAAAGTAAGTTCTCTGGGCTGAATGGGAAAAAATATCAAATGTAAATTTGGATCTGGAAATGATGGCCACTAGAAATGAATAAATGTTGGTAAATATAAAATACTGTCTTTCTTTCTTATATTCTTAAAAGCACAACTGTTTAAAACAAGTGGTTATAGCATAAGTGTAAAATATATGCAAAGATTAGAACATTTTATATAAAGTGGTAAAATGTTAATTTCTGAAAATTATAGGACAGCCCCCTCTTGAACATAGAAGTAAAAATCATTAGCAAAATATTATTAATACAAATCCAGCAATAGATAGAAAGGTAATGCATGCTTCTTGAACAAGTGGAGTTTATCTCAGAAAAACAAGATTCATTTAATGTTTGAAAAGTAATCAATTGATTTATCATATTAGAATAAAGGAAAGAAAAGCGTAAGATTATCTCAATAGATGCAGAAAAGCATTTGACAAACTCAACAGCCTTTTATGAGTAAACTAGGGATAGATGGTAGCTTTCTCAAGTTGATTAAGGACATCTAATAAAAGCCTACAGCTAACATTTTACTTATCAGTAAAATATTGAAATATTGAATGTTTACTCCTAAAAAAATGGTGTGCTAGCCTCTAAAAATAGACAAAGATGTCAAAATTTGCAATTTCTTTCTTTTTTTTTGAGTTGGAGTCTCACTCTGTCGTTCAGACTGGAGTGCAGTGGCCGCTCCAGTCACCACAGCCTCGACCTGCTGGGCTCTGGCGATCCCTCCTCCTCAACCTTCCAAGTAGCCGGAATTACAGGCATGCGCTACCATGCCCGGCTGATGTTTTGATTTATTGTAGAGATGAGGTCTTGCTGCCCAGGCGGGTCTCGAGCCTGCGGGCTCAGGCAATCCACTCACCTCAACCTCCCAAAGGCACGGGATTACAGGCTGAGCCACCGAGCCTGGCTAAAATTTGCCATTTCTATTCAACCTTGTACTGAAATGTTACCAAGTGTAATAGAGAAAAAAAAAAAACACCACACAAATAGCATATATAAATATTGAAATGTAGAAGAAATATCTTCATTTCATCAACATGATTATATATGTAGAAATTCCTAATAATCTGCAAAACAATTATTAAAACTAAACAATTAATTTAAATATTTTATTGACTTAATATAAAACCACACATTGCTTAATAATAAATTTAGCTAATCATTGCAATACATCTACACTAAAGACTACAGATCATAGTTGAGCATAATTAAAGATTTAAATAAATGGAAATATATTTTCATGAAATAGAAGATTCAATATTATTAAGAAACTACTTCTACCCAAATTTATTCTATCAGTTCAACCAAATCTCACTCAGAATCTAAACAGAAATTCTTTGTAAAAATTGATGAACTGCCTTTAAAATGTATGTGGAAATGTCCAGTACTTAAAATTGTCAAAATAATACTAATAAAAGAATAATGAATTAACATACCTGACTTAAAGACTTATTATAAAGCCACCTTATTCAAGAATCTGTGATATTGACATAAACAAAGATATTGATGGAGCATAATGTTGAGTTCATAGATAGATTCAAACTATGTTATTAGACTTTTTACAAAGACACCAAAGAAATAAAAAAAGGAAGTGTTTTCAAGAAAATTTCTGCAGTGCTTAGGTAAGTGTGGAAAAAAAATGAATTTCGCTTTCAATCTCACACCACATGTCAAAATCAATATGGATTGTAGCCTAAACATTAAAGCGAAAACAGCAAAACTTCTGAAATAAAGTACGGGAGGACATCTTTGAAATTTTGGGGTAGGTAAAATTTTCTTGGAAAAAAGGAGGCAAAAGTTCTATATATTATTTAAATGACCTTGAAATAGTCAAACAATAGAGTTCCACTTTAACAATAAAAAGAAGAAAAAAATGAGTAATACCAATATATGCATAAGTGAATTTCAATTTGAAGCATATAATTATATTAGAAGTATTTACATATATTATATTTTATTTATGCAATTATATCTGAAGTATTCAAGAGATATTTGGAAAAGTCACTAGGACTCTCAGGTTTCTGTGCTGGCCACCTAGGTAGAAAGAGATTCCATTTACTGAGTTAGCAAAGATCAGAAGAGAAGCAAAACGGTGTAGAAATGTGGTAAGGTGAATTTTGGACCTATTGAGTTTGAAATACCTGTGAGATAGCTAAATAGAGATATTGAATAGACAAGTGAGTGTGCAGTTCTGGAGCTTAGGAGATATGCCTGAACAGAAAAATAGATCTCAAAATGTAAACTGATGATAAAAATGTAACTTATTGTAAGGGAAAAATTAGAGTAAGAGGGTCTTAGAGAGAGCTCTGAAGAAATTCAGTATTGAATGATTTGTTGAAAGAAGAAATGCAACTGAGTAGCATACAGGGATGTGTAAATCACAGAAATCAAGGTCAGAAAATATTTCAAGGAGCAAGGAATGGAAAACAATGTCAAAAACTTCTCAAAGGCAAACTACTAAAACTTTCCATTAGATTTAGTTATGATGATGCTGGTTTTGTTGGCGAGTTGGTTAAAGCAGTTTGGATGCTTATGGAGTAAATTGAAGAAATTGAACTTGTGAGTGTAGACAAGCATACGACCTCGTAAAGATGTCTGGCTAAAGGAGAGGATAGATGATGGTAGTGAGAAGGGGAAGTAGAATGCAAGCAGAGTTTCTCTGATGACAGTGGAGGTATTTTTAAGATGGAGGACTATTTGTTGCTTCCTGTAAAACAAAAACAAAAACAAACAAAAAACAGGAAGCAACCAGCAGCAGAAAAAGGTTGAAAGCATAGGTTAATTGGGAAAGCAAATGTCTTGCAAAGTCCAAGAAAGATGCATAGCACAATTGGAGAGATAACTCAAGATTAAAAGCTCAAGTTTTTAACAAGAAGAAAAAAGCAAAACACAGGTATGGATGTAAGCAGCGTGTAGATAAAGGGAAACAAAAAGGTCGGGTTACTGTCTCATCACCTCTGAGACTCAGAAGTACTGAGAGCGTAGGATAAGGAAAGATGGTTGAAGATATGTGGAGGAAAGAGAAAATTTGGAATAGTTGTAGAGAATGAAAATGGAGAATGAAAAATGCTTCTTCACTTTGGCCAGCAAAGGGAATTTTGGTTTGTTTTCTTTTTAGTATTTCGCTATCTGTAGAGATAGCAGTGAGCATGCTTATTAAGGCTTTCTTGGAGGCTCCTTAGCACCAGTTTCATCTGCAGGGACATGGGAGGGGACCAATTCATTCTGCTTGGTGACTGAAATCAGTACTATTTAGTAATTATTTGGTAAGTTTTTGGAGGGCTACAGCGATCAGAGGCAGAGACAAACAGTTGATCGCAATGAGTCAGTTGCACCTTTCATATGAAGAGAATATTAGTTTTATTACCTTAATGTGCTCTTCGTCACTTGACAAACTTTAAATATGGTGAACAATTAACTATTGATTCAAATACAAAGCATTTGATGGTACCAATTTGTTAGACTCAAAACAATTTTTAAAATTCAGAATTTACTTTTGATTTGTTGGGAGTAAATTAAATTGTTCAGCAATTATTCATGTTTCAAGAGTATTTATAGCCCGTAATCCCACGCCTTTGGGAGGCTGACGTGAGTGGATTGCCTGAGCCTGCAGGTTTGAGACCCGCCTGGGCAGCAAGACCTCATCTCCAGAATAAATCAAAAAATCAGCCAGGCGTGGTAGCGCGTGCCTGTAATTCCGGCTACTCGGAAGGCTGAGGCGGAAGGATCGCCGGAGCCCAGCAGGTCGAGGCTGCGGTGGCCGGGAGTGGCCACTGCACTCCAGTCTGGGCGACAGAATGAGACTCCAACTCAAAAAAAAAAAAAAGAGTATTTGTTCATGTAATAAACCAAATTTCTCTTTTAGGTCTTCACAGGGATCTTCACAGCAGAAATGTTTCTCAAGATAATTGCCATGGATCCATATTATTACTTTCAAGAAGGCTGGAATATTTTTGATGGTTTTATTGTGAGCCTTAGTTTAATGGAACTTGGTTTGGCAAACGTGGAAGGATTGTCAGTTCTCCGATCATTCCGGCTGGTAAATTAACTGGGAGTGTCTATAATATTTTCTTTTATAATTAATTAGTTTCATTCTTATTTAATAATAATTATAAGATTTCCTATAATCATAATATTTTTTGAATGCACTTCTCAAACAAATTGGTGTCCTAGCACCAGATGGTATTCGTCATCATGATTTTACTAGAAAAAGTTCATTCAAATGAACAGTCTACAGTTCTCTCCTTAGTAATTGAATGGCATGGTTAATAGAGAGAAGAAAAGGGAGCCACACATAAATTCAAATCACAATTAAACAAAACCATAGTCAACCCTCAGTTATCTGAGGTTTGCATAGCCATGTATAAGTCTTCCTTGGGACCTAGGATGAACTCTCATTTCTGTCAGGAACTAAGGAATTATGGAATTGCTCATTACTCACCACAGCCCCATGGAAGTCAAGAACGGAGACAGGAAACAGTGTACTGGAGGACAAGCAGAGCTCCCCACATACCTGCTGCTTCAGCCAGATCAGACAGTCACCAAATCCACTCTTTGAGAGAGTTGCCTATATTATATTTTGTTAATTTTAGAGAAAGTGCCTTTCATTTGATCTTTATATTTTATAAACTTTTGGACTTTAATATTAAGAGACAAAATATCACTTGACACATTTCTACTGAAAGTTTGGTGTGTTTTATTGTGCTATTATTTTGAGTTGGCTTTAACTTTTTGTGATTTATTTTCAAATAACAGAGGTTGTACATGGTTACCAAAAACAGATACCTACAGATGATTTAGCTTAAAGGGGATTGGTTCAAAACTTTGCTGTGAAATCTGTTTATATTTCCCTTGCTACTTTCAAGTTCAAATTTGAGTTGAGATCCCCTAAGAACTATAGTTTCCTTCCCTAGTCCTCAAGGAGAATTATGGATCTAATTTAAAACTAGAAGGATGCAAAAAATAGAGCAAAAATTAGAAATAAGACAAGTAATATGAACAACTAATTTTTTTAAATGCTCAGTAAACCTTTGTGATAATACAATGCAGCTTGAGGAAATTGGAAGCATGATATTAACATCTTGCTTAATGTGTCAGGCTTTTTTGCATGACTTATTCTCTGGAAATAAATTAAACACTTGGGGTACATATATTTGCTCCTTTGGGTCATTTCAATGCCATTAAATAATGTACTGCTTTCATTCTGACATTTACTGGAGCATCAGAAATAAAATGCTGCTGTTGTTTAACCATAAATGGTACTTTGGAGGCCACTGTAAGCTAGTACAACCCATGTGTCAAACATAGTGACAGAGTCAGTTACATGTTATAATGAATTGATTAAGTCTCTGAAAACATAAAAGTTAAAAAAGTATTCTTTTTACTTAAGTCCAAGTACTTTTTCTTTGAATATTACAAATATTTAAAATATAGCCTAATGTTACAGCAAAGTAAAGAAATAGCTAGGTTAAACAATCAAAAGATTTAAATTAGTTCATTTTTCATATAAACTTTATGTACTCTAAGTGTTAATATTATTTTCATATTTGCACTTCAGCATATTTCAAGTACACTGAAAAATACATCCACTTTGAGCTTTTATAAACATATTTTTAATTTTGAAATTGTGGGGAACAGTTAAGGGTTAGGTATACAAATATGTATCATTCAGGCACCCTTGCTGATAAGGGGCGTCTCCCCATCCCCAGACAGATATTGACTACCGTTAATACCACCTCCCTTCGCCTCCCCACCCCACCATAGTTTCCCACCACTGTCAATCCTTTTCTTACAGTATTATGATAGAGGTTCAAGGTCCACTATATGAGTGAGAACATGTGATACTCAGATCTTTGTTTCTGTGAGAGATCACTCAGTATTATAGACTCTAGTTCCATCCACGTTGCTGCGAAATTCATGATTCTGTTCTTTTTTATGGCTGCATAGTATTCCATCGTATATATGTACCACATTTTCTTAATCCAGTCCTCTTTTGATGGACAGTATGGTTGGTTCCAGGTTCTTGCTATTGTGAACAATGCTGTGATAAACATACGTGTGCAGGTATCTTTTTTATAAAGTGATTTGAGTTCTTCAGGGTATATTCCCAGTAGGGGGATTGCGGGGTCATACGGGAGGTCGATATTTAGAGCTTTTAGGAATCGCCACCCTGCTTTCCACAGAGGTTGCACTAGTTTACACTCCCACCAACAATGTAGCAGTGTTCCCTTTTCACCACATTCTCTGCAGCATCTGTTATTTTTTGTTATTGATAATTGCCATTCTGACTGGAGTTAGGTGGTATCTCAATGTAGTTTTAATTTGCATCTCCTTGATGATTAGTGAGGTTGAACATTTCTTCACGTGTCTTTTGGCCGCTTGGATGTCTTCTTTTGAGAAGTGTCTGTTCATATCTTTTGCCCACTTTATAATGGGATTGTTTGTTTTTTTCTTTTCAGCATTTGCGTTCCTCGTAGATCCAAGATGTTAGGCCTTTGTCAGACATGGAGTTGGCAAATACTTTTTCCCAGTCTGTGGGCTGTCTCCCTGCTCTCTTGATGGTTTCTTTGGCTTTGCAGAAGCTTGTCAGTTTAATGAGGTCCCACTTGTCTATCTTATCTCTTATGGCCTGTGCATTTCGGGTTTTGTTCAGGAATTGGATGCCAGTTCCAATTTCGATAAGGGTGTGTCCTGCCTTTTCTAAGGTTCTTATGGTTTGAGGTTTTACATTTAGGTCTCTGATCCATTTGGAGTTAATTTTTGTGTATGGGGATAGATAGGGATCTTGTTTGAATCTTCTGCATGTGGTCAGCCAGTTTTCCCAGCACCATTTACTGAATAGGTTCTCCTCTCCCCAGTGGTAGGTAATGGGGACTTTGTCGAAGATGAGTTGGTTGAGCAATTGAGATTTTGCTTCTGGAATCTCAATTCTATTCCATTGGTCTATATGCCTGTTCCTGTATCAATACCAAGCTTTTTTGATTACTGTAGCTTTGTAGTAAAGTTTGAAGTCTGGTAATGTGATACCACCTGCTTTGTTTTTGTTTTTTGCTGAGGATTGTTCTGGCTATTCTTGGTCATTTGTGTTTCCATATGAATCCCTGTATTGTTTTTTCTACCTATGAGAAGAATGTTGCTGGTAATTTGATGGGTATTGCATTAAATCTGTAGATTGACTTAGGTAAGATGGATATCTTCACAATGTTGATTCTTCCAATTCATGAGCATGGGATATTTTTCCACTTGTTTGTGTCATCTTTGATTTCTTTGAGCAGTGTTTTGTAGTTTTCACTGTAAAGATCTTTCACGTCTCTGGTTAGGAAGATGCCAAGGTATTTCATTTTTTTTGGCGGCTATTGTGAATGGAATTGTGCTTTTTATTTGGGTTTCTGTTTGTTTATTATTGGTATAAAGAAATGTGATTGTCTTTTGCACATTTATTTTATACCCTGAGACTTTGCCAAAGTCCTTTATCAGTGCAAGGAGGCTTTTGACAGATTCTCTTGGGTTTTCAAGGTACACAATCATGTTGTCTGCAAAGAGAGACAACTTGACTTCCTCTTTTCCTATTTGGATGCCCCTGACCTCCTTCTCTTTTCTGATTGCTCCGGCCAGGGCTTCCAATACTATATTGAACAGGAGGGGAGAGAGTGGGCATCCTTGTCTTGTTCCCGTTTTCAGGGGAAATGTTTCCAATTTTTGTCTGTTTAAGAGTATGCTAGCCGTGGGTTTCTCATAGATGGCTTTTACTATTTTGAGGTGTGTTCCATGTATGCCTAGATGTTCGAGAGTTTTTATCAAGAGAGGGTGCTGTATTTTATCAAAAGATTTTTCTGCATCTAATGATATAATCATGTGGTTTTTGTTCTGATATCTGTTGATGTATTTAATTACATTTATTGTCTTGCAAATGTTGAACCAGCCTTGCGTCCCAGGAATTAAGCCTACTTGGTTATGATGGATGATTTTTGAGATGTGTTGTTGAATTCGGTTTACTAGGATCTTGTTGAGAATTTTGGCATCTGTGTTCATCAAAGATATTTGCCTGTAGTCTTCTTTCTTTGTTGGGTCTTTACCTGGCTTGGGTATACCTGGCTTGGGTATCAATGTGATGTTAGCTTCATAAAATGATTTGGGGAGGGTACCATCTTTCTCAATTGCCTGGAATACTTTCTTGTTGAGAATTTTGGCATCTATATTCATCAAAGATATTTGCCTATAGTTCTCTTTCTTTGTTGGGTCTTTACCTGGCTTGGGTATACCTGGCTTGGGTATCAGTGTGATGTTAGCTTCATAAAATGATCTGGGGAGGGTTCCATCTTTCTCAATCACCTGGAATACTTTCAGTAGGATTGGTATCAGCATCTCCTTAAAGTTCTTATAGAATTCTGCTGGACAGCCATCTGGTCCAGGGCTTTTTTTTTTTGTAGGTAGTTTACTTATTACATAGTCAACTTCCTTGACTGTTATTCGTCTATTTAGGGTCTCGATTTCTTCTTGTTTCAATGTAGGCAGGTTATGTGATGTCATAAAGTCTTCCATTTCCTTAAGGTTTTCAAGTTTGTTTCCATACAAGTGTACATAGTAGTCTCTAATGCTCTTTTGTATTTCTTCAGGGTCAGATGTAACTTCAACTTTTGTGTTTCTGATTGTATTTATTTGGGCTTTTTCTCTTTTTTTTCTTGGTCAGTCTAGCTAGGGGACCATTGATCTTGTTTATCCTTTCAAAGAACCAGCTTTTTGCTTCATTGATTTTTTTGTATTATCTTTTTGTCTTCTAAGTCCCAGATTTGGGCTTTTATTTTGGTGATCTGGATTCTTCTGCTGAAGTTAGGGTTTTGGTGGTCTTGCTTTTCTAGTTTCCTAAGGTGATTTGTTAGGCTGTTAATTTGTGATCCTTCCATTTTCTTCATGTGGGTTGGTAGAGATATGAATTCCCCTCTTACTACAGCTTTCATGGCCTCCCAGAGATTTTGGTAAGATGTTTCTTCATTTTCATTTGTTTCCAGGTATCTTTTAATCTCTGTTTTGATTTCATCATTGACCTAGGAGTTGTTTAGCATCATGCTATTTAGTGTCCTTGTCTTTGTGGGTTTGGGGGGAACCTTGTTGGTGTTGATGTTTATTTTTATTCCACTGTGGTCTGAGAAGGTGCATGATAAAATTCCGATCTTTTGAAATTTGTTTATGCTTGATTTATGGCCAAGTATGTGGTCGATCTTAGAGTACATTCCATGCGGTGATGAGTAGAATGTATTTTCTGTGGTCTTTGGGTGGAGTGTTCTGTAGGTATCAATTAAGTCCATATGGTCAAGAGTCACATTGAAGTTCCAGATCTCATTGCTGATTTTTTGTCCTGATGATCTGTCTAGGGTTGTGAGTGGGGTATTAAAGTCCCCAGCTATGATAGTTTTAGAATCAATATATTTTTTGAGTTTTCCTAGAAGCTGCTTTATGAAAGTTGGTGCTCCTATGTTGAATGCATATATGTTTAGGATAGATATTTCTTGTTGATGGAGTGAACCTTTTATCATTATGTAGTGGCCTTCTTTATCTTTTTAAATTTTTGATAGCTTAAATGGTATTTTGTCTGAAATTAGGATCTCGACTCTTTTCTTTTGTGTTCCGTTCACCTGGAAATTTGTTTCCCATCCTCTTACTTTGAGTCTGTGAGTGTCCTTTCTAGTGAGATGGGTCTCTTGAAGGCAATAGATTGTTGTCTGGTGGTATTTTATCCATTTTGCCATTCTACGTCTTTTCAGTGGTGCATTTAGTCCATTTACATTCAAGCTAATTATTGAAATGTGAGAGTTGATCCCTATCATAAGGTTCTTATTGAGTTATTGTTGTTGTTCCTCTTAGTTTGTTGTCTTTCTTTTGGTTTTGGGGTTGGTTTGTGTGAGTTTTACTCTTTTTCCTGTACTCTTGTGAAGAATGTTGTTGTTCTGTTTTCCTTTTCTTCTGTGTTTAGTACTTTCTTAAGTGTTTCTTGTAGAGGTGGTCTGGTGGCAGCATAAGTTCTTAGGGATTGGATGTCTGGGAAATAGTTTAATTCTCCCTCACTGATGGAGCTTAGTTTGGCTGGGTAGGTTATTCTTGGTTGAAATTGTTTATCTTTTAGAACTTTGAAGATAGAGCTCCAAGCTCTCCTAGCCTGCAGGATTTCTGTAGATAAATCTGCTGCTATTCTAATTGGTCTTCCATGGTTGGTGATCTGGCCTTTTTCTTTTGCTGCCTTTAGGATTTTTTCTTTTATACCTACTTTGTTTAGGTGAATTATTATGTGTCTGGGAGTTGGTCTTCTCATTTGTTGTCTTGCAGGGATTCTCTGAATCTCTTGTGTTTGAATTTTTGGGTCACTGATGAGATGAGGGAAGTTTTCTTCAATAATCTCATGGAATGTTTGTTCCAAGGTGGCCTCTGTTTCTCTCTCTTTTTTGTGAGTTGGAGTCTCACTCTGTCACCCAGACTGGAGTGCAGTGGCCACTCTTGGCCACCACAGCCTTGACCTGCTGGGCTCTGGTGATTCTTCCACCTCAGCCTTCCAAGTAGCTGGAATTACAGGCACACGCTACCACACTCGGCTAATTTTTTGATTTATTATAGAGATGAGGTCTCGCCTACCCAGGCAGGTCTTGAACCCGTGGGCATAGGCAATCCACTCACCTCAGCCTCCCAAAGGCGCAGGATTACAGGCTGAGCCAGCCAATTACTCTTCAATTTGGTCTCTTGAAGTAATTGCTCATCTCTTGAATGTTTTGTTCTGTCTTTTTAAGCTTTTTTCCCTATGTTTTTGACAGTTTGGATAAGTTCTGTATTTTGGTCCTCAAGCTCTGAGATTCTTTCTTCTGCTTGAGTAATTCTGCTTTCCATGCTTATCAGTTTGTTATTTATTTCACTCACAGTATTCCTTACTCCTGTTGTCTCAGTTTCAACTCATTTCTAGTTTCTTCTTGTCTCTCCTCAATTCTTTTTAATCGCTTCATTAATGTCTTGATATCTAGGTTTGTCGTTTGAAACCAGTTATTCTGGGGGCTCTTCATTGTTTGCATTCCGAAGTCAGTTTTCTCAGTGTCTGCCCTCCCAGGGGTCTGGGAGATACCCATGTTCTTTTGGTTTTTCTTCATTTGTGTAGGTTTTTCTCTCTCCCCCTTTCACTCCCCTTCTTTAATTCTGTTTTTTGGGAAGGTGGGGTTGCTTTTACTTCTTTTGTTCAATCTCCTGTTCTTTCTTATGAAGGTCCTCTGGCTTTGTTCACTTTTGAGGCTGGACTGTGGATTGGGGGCTGTACTTTTTGCAGTTTTGAGGTTTAATTGGGAGGAAGCTGTGATTCAGAATCTATCTGCAGATCCCAATATCCACCAACAGGTGCATGGGCACACTGGAACCCATTTCCTACTGCCTTACAATCTGTCCATGCAGCAGAGTTTAGGTTTGTTCCCTAGAACAAAAGGAAGTACAAAAAAGGAAAATAATGGAAGAAGTGGGGGGGAGGGGTCAGGAGGAAGTTAGAGAGAGGGAAGAGTGAGAGGCAAAACAAACATACATACAAAGTAACAAGTGAAAAAGAGACACAAGGCCAGAAAAGAGTGAAAAACAGACACACAAAGAAAATTCCCTAAACCATTCTGGTAATCACATAATACAGTCCAATTATATCATGCTTTTTGATGCATTTTTCCCCAACACAAACAGGTAGTCTAAATCAAAAAGCAAACAAAAGTGAGCAAAGCAAACAGTCAAAACAATAAAATCAGAAATCAAAATAAGAAACCAGACTAGCTCTGGAGTCTTTCCTGAGTGTCTAAAGTCTCTTCAGCACTTATCTCTGGCCTCCCCTTTGCTTTCACTGCAGGCAGATAGATTTACTCCAAGCTTGAGTTGATTCCCTTTGTTTGCTGCCTGAGAGGTCTGTGACAGGCTTGAGTTGCCTGTACTGATTCAGCATGGGGGGGGCCTTTTGTCTCTTGTTTAGCGATGTTACCCTAGAAACCAAGGTGGAGGCTACTTATAGATGGGTGGGGCAATGTAAATCTCTTCCTGGGAAATGACCAAGGTGGGTGGATCCTCTTTCAAGGATCCTTTCTCTCCACCCAGCCGGGTCCGTGGGTGATCCCCTATGACGGGCTATGGGATCAGCAACAGCTGGGCGCTTGATCTGGTGTGCCACCAGAGGCCTGGGTTGGAGGGGGTAGCTGGGATTTCCCTCTTCTGGAGGTGAGAGCTGACAGTGGCTGATCAGCACCTCCTTAAGATGTGCTGTTCCCTTACCCAACCACAGGGTCCCAAGCTGGGTGCCTCAGTCAGAGTGGGGACGGAGCTCCAAAGGGCGGGTGGTGAGTGGTGGTAGCAGCTTTGGGTCCCGGCACAGGGCAGGAATGGAGCTTGTATCTCTGAGGGGCAGGCGCCTAGAGCCTCCCTGGGTGACAGCGGCTTAAAATAGGGCACATGGGCCCAGAACCCAGTGCAGGGAGCTGGAACTCTGAGGAGTGAGCACCGGGCCTGCTGGTTTGGGCACCCAGTCTGGGAGAGAGCTGGCAGCTGCTGAGTGCCGGGCGGATCAGTGTAACCAGCAAGGGAACCTAGATCGCCACAAGGTGGTATCCAAGGGCCACCGGGTGAGATGTTGTAGCTGGGGAGGAAGCTGGGATCTCCACACACTGCCTATAGTGGAGCAGTAGCAGCCGAGAGGCCTCAATACTCAGCCTTGCGTGGGTCCAAGGGTCTCCAGGCCTCAGACCAGTGCGACTGGCAGTGAGCAAGGGGGTGGGGGAAGGAGAGTAAGAGTCTTTTTGGGAACTCACTTTCGGAGAATCTCAAGGTCCCGCCTATGACATCGCCATCTTACCGGAGCCCCCACTTTGGGCTCTTAAATAATGAGAACTTCTGCTATTCTGAAACAGAATCTCTGCTAATTAACTACCATTAACCTTAGATGTCTTAGTTCCTTAAAGAAAAACAAAAGTATATTATATATGCGTATGCAGGATCTTGTAAAAGTTGTATTGTATTGTTAAAAACTGTATAATTATTTATTTACAGTATGAACCATTTCAGAATAAAAAATACCCCATGGTATCAAATAACTGCTACATTTACTAGATAATAGTTTGACACACAAATAACTCAGCATTCTACAACTGAGACATGTTATAGGTTTTTCAACAGTGTTTTTGCTCTTCTTTCCAGCTCCGAGTCTTCAAGTTGGCAAAATCTTGGCCCACTCTGAATATGCTGATAAAGATTATTGGTAATTCAGTAGGGGCTCTGGGGAACCTTACCCTGGTGTTGGCCATCATCGTGTTCATTTTTGCGGTGGTCGGCATGCAGCTCTTTGGTAAGAGCTACAAAGAATGTGTCTGCAAGATCTCCAATGACTGTGAACTCCCACGCTGGCACATGCATGACTTCTTCCACTCCTTCCTGATTGTCTTCCGAGTGCTGTGTGGCGAGTGGATAGAGACCATGTGGGACTGTATGGAGGTTGCTGGCCAAACCATGTGCCTTACTGTCTTCATGATGGTCATGGTGATCGGAAACCTTGTGGTATGTAGCGAAAACATTTTCCTCATTTTCAGTAAAGCATACTATAACCCTAAAAAGTATGTTCAACTGAATAATTTTTTTTATGAAGATCACTTCCTATTCTCCTTTATTCATGATGGCAAAAGCCAAGTATGGTTTAGACTCTTGTAATCCGCATAAATCCTTAAAATAGCTTTTGAACCAAAGTTCTACTTTTTATGATTATCCTTCTTACTATTCCATGGAGAGGAAATTTCTGACTTTTATCCTTAGTTCCTGTACTAAAGTGTGGAAGTATTACTAAGAACAATCGCACATTTTATTTACAAGCACTAATAATAGTATCAATTGAAAATGTTTCAGATTTGGGTTTTCTACAAGTTAGAGTTTTAAAAAATTAGTGGCAATCCTAATTCATTAAAAGCACACAGGGTTTTGGGTGCCTAGAAACTGTAGTATGAACCAATAGCATTGATTCAACAAACATTAATTATCATTTCTGTGTAAAATTAACCATGCCCAGCTCCAGTGTTCTGAATCTTGGAAGCATGAAAAAGATGATAGAAAGATAAATATAACAAGGTGCTATTGTATGTACTCAAACAGGATTAAAAATAGGAAGTATCTAATATGTGTCAAAAATATGACAAAGTGCTGTATGTCCAGTTCACCATATGGAAGCATTGCTTTACAATAGGAAGGTTGCATTTCTTTACAATCAGGGAATTGTCAGAGTTTGGACCTGAAATATCTTTTTTTTTTTCTTTTTTTTTGAGTTGGAATCTCACTCTGTTGCCCAGACTGGAGTGCAGTGGCCGCTCCCGGCCACCGCAGCCTCAACCTGCTGGGCTCTGGCTATCCTTCTGCCTCAGCCTTTCAAGTAGCTGGAACTACAGGCGTGAAATATCTTTAATTGAGATTTAGTTTGGTAGTAAGAAAGGTAAACCATCCCAAACCAGGGAACAGTATACCCAGTGATAATTATAGGAAGGATCAGGCTCTTGTACTTTAAATATAAAGTAATTATACTGAGTTGTTTCATAAGGACCCAAACCAGTGGAATAGAAAAAGGGTTATCAGACAAATATTTTGAAGTATATACTCTATAGACTTGATTTCCTCTCACATAAAAGTTACCTCCAAGTCCCCAAATGAAGAAAAAGGGAAAGGAAAAAGGCAAAGTATTATCATTTTATTTCTATGTATTGCTGGATTTTAGTCTTTCTAGTATTAGCTTAGATAATTTATATCTTATTTTGAAGTAACAAGAAATATAAACAGGGTACAATCCAAAAATATAAACAGTAGCTTGAAACCACAAACATCGATTATTTTAAAGTTTCAGTGAGTCAGGAATTTGCTCTGGGTGGTCTGGTTCGAGGTCAATCATAAAGTTGCTGTCAAGATGTTGACTGAGGTTACAGTCATCTTGACTGGGACTAGAGGATTAGCTTCCAAGGACACTCAGTCTCATGACTATTGGCAAGAAGTCTCAGTTCCTTGTTGGCTATTGGTTGAAAGTCTCAGTTTTTCTCTATATAGACCTTTCCATAGGGCTGTTCAGCATGGCAGCTGGTTTCTTCCAGGGCAGGTGATCCAAGAGAAAATATGTTCTACTCTTAAAGTCACATTCCATTGCTTCTGCCATATTCTATTTATTAGAAGCTAGTCACTAAGAAAAGTTCATACTTAGAAATTCGGCTCTAACCCTGTCTCTATAAAAAAATAAATAATTAGCTGAGCGTGATGGGGTGTGCCTGCCATCCCACCTACTCCAGAGGCTAAGACAGAAGAATCACCTGAACTCAGAAAGTTGAGGCTGCGGTGAACCGTGAGGGTGCCACTGCACTCCAGACTGGGTGACAGAGACTGACTCAAAAATAAATAAATAAGACTCTGCATGTTTAAAGGAAGTATATCACATAATTTGTAGATAATTTTAAAGCCACCACAGTTCCTAATATAACTTTAAATTATTTGCTTTCAGAAAAGTATAAGATTTCAAAGAATGGAAAGAAAGGGCCATAGGGTTACCCAGAACAGAAACAAATAAAATATGACAGGATTGCGTTATTTAGATTATCAGAATGCAACAGAGAATTCGGAGTGGGAGTAGTAAAAAAAAAAAAAAAAAAAAAAAAAAGTAGTAAAAAAAGTAAGTTTGGGACCAGATTGGGTAGAGTCTAATTTATGATAAGGCTGACTCTGCATAATGGATTTTCCTTTAGGCAATTCAAAGCTACAAATGGCTTTTTATCAGGAAAGTGACAATGAACAAGTGATTTTTTTGGTAAAATGTATGTAGTAGGAGAATGCAGAGTAGATTTAAAGAAGAAGAAACGGAGCCTATCACATATCATAATTTCAGTTTACTGAAGTAAACATATCGCTCTAATATATAAACATATCTCTGTGTATGTACAGAGAATTCAAGTTGAAAAGGGAATTTTAGGAAGTATCAAATATCTATACTTGTGAATAGCATCAATATTAATTTAGATTATGTATAAAATGCATAGTTCATAAAATAATCATTTCCATCTACTGACACACATTTTTGTGCTTTTAAAAGAGAAAATTAAAAAGTCTACTTTCGTTTTGAGTATCAGTTAAAAAAAATTCTTCTCTTTGTCATAACCTGGATATATTTCTGGAGTAGCTAAGGTGGTGATATCTATCACATTTATCACTATTAAGAAAATGTGCTCATATCACACTTGCTTAAATAAGACTGAATGGACTTGCTACACTGCTTCCTACAATTCTTCCCTCTCATCCTCACTGGAAAAGGGGAAGAATTCCCAAAAGTAAACTGGTATAATTTCCTCTCAACACACATGAACTGCCCTATGGGGCTCTCTCTACCACAATGGATGTAATAGTCACAGTAGATGTGACTGTCAGGCTGGTCCACAGACAAGACAGAAGTGGGGCCACAGTCTGCATCCCCCCAGGCCAGGATTTTTTTTTTGAAATACTGTTAGCATTTATTATTCTGGTGAAATTGCTGATGATTTAAATTTTTTTTCTTGTGTATTTTTTCAAATTTTTATGCATTTGATGTATAACAAAAAAAAAGTCAAGATTTTTAAAGTAAAAAAAGATCATTCAGAGTGACAAGTGTAAGGCTGGAGGCTTGCCATGGCAAGCCAGGATTTTTATGAGCCATCCTTGATTTCCTAACACTGTGACCAAAGACCTTTTATAGGTTTATAGCAGGTACTGCAGAAAGAGAATGTGACTTTTTTGAAGACGGGTGGTTGTAGAAGTCTCTAACACAATCTCCTCTCTCTCTAAGTGAAGGTAAGGCACTAATACACATGGAAGATGTGAAGGCTTGGGGCTTCTCTTATGAACTGGGAACTGGGATGGGGAACCTATTAACATACACAATATATTTCAATTTTGGGTTAAATGGGAATTATGGTAATATTTCCACTCAAGAGATTAATTTGGAGATACTTGTGAAAGAACTGATTTCACTAAAAGAGCTGCCACATTTGTGAAACAGGAGGCAAGTTTTCAGTTCCTCAGTGAGCTTTCCTTAAATTGCCATGATCACACCAAACACCTGGGTCAGCTGTTATGCAGGTGCCCTTTAGTAACAAAGGAGGCCCAGACAAAGAGATTAGCTTGACTCACGCAGATATTTCTAGGGAAGTAAAGTAAATAGAGTGTTGCAGAGGGTAGGTTAGATAATTGTAACGCGAAAATAAGAACAGCTAAACTTTCTCAAGGTTCACTGCATGCCAGTTGTACTGAGAGCACACAGATTCTTTCATTGTATCTTTTCAACAATCTTGTAAGCTTCGTGTTGGAAAAATTATTATAATTATTTTATAAGTGAAGAAACTGAGACTCAGACTGGTTAGACTACTTACCTTGAGTCATGCAGTTAGTGACAGAAAATCGATTCTTACCAGGCAATCTAATTCTAAAAGATTTGCTCTTCTATGTCACATAATTTATGGAATGAAGGGAATCATGCTGTTAGAAATCGTCTGGCAGATATTTGTAAGAAATTTTTTAGCACTGCACCACCACATACAAAAAGGCTGCTTTTAAAAAAAATCTTCACTAAATTTATGAGAAAGAAATGTTACGTGTTCAGGAAATAATTTTTTTTTTCAAGCAGGTCTTAGTTTGATTATCAGGAGCTATGGTGTAAAGTTTGGCAGATGTGTCAATATGTACTCTCAAAATTACACATAGTTCTCACCGGATCTTACACATTTTTATTTTTAATTTTTCCACCATTGGTTAGACTAACTTACAACTAGTTCAACAAAGTTGCTCTAAGTCGCATTAACATAATAGAAAGTTTAGCATATAGCAAGAATGCAGCATCCTTTTCGTTGGAGTTTTACTTAAAAATTTTCCTAGGATCCCATTTTTGCACTACAAGCTGAGCATCCCTAATCTAAAAACCTGAAATCCCAAATGCTCCAATGTTTAAAATTTTTTGAGCACCAGCATGTCCCTGCAAGTAGAAAATTCCACATTTTACCTCTTATGAAGGATCACAGCCAAAACACAATCAAAACTGTGTTTCATACACATAAGTATTCAAAAATATTTTATAAAATTACCTTCAGACTATGTGTAGCAAGAGTATGTGAAACTTAAATACATTTTCTGTTTAAGCCTGTATCCCATCCCCAAGATATCACATCATGCATATGCAAATAGTCCAAAATTCAAATCCTAAACACTTCTGGTCCCAAGCACTTTGGATAAGGGATATGCAGCCTGTATTTACTTTTTTACATTTGGCCTCCTTTACTGCCACATCCTTCTTTCATTCTGTATGCTTAGATGATCAGCAACTCATGGACATTGTTTATCAAATCCTGAAACTAATTACATGACTCAGTGCAGTATTCCTTAGTAAATTACTTTTTTTTTTAAAGTTCACAGTGGGTTTAGCATCACTTTCACTCATTCATATCAGTGGGCCCTATTTTTGAAGACCCCATTTACAGACTAATCAGTGGACTTATTCATGGCAGTACTTCAACTCCAAAATCTTTAATTCAATATTAATAATATTATTCTTGTATAACAATCATTTTTATAGTATTTTCAATCATTGCATAATTATAGTGGTCATGATTTTCTGAATCAAAAACTGAGACTTTTCATCCAGCAAAAAGTAAATTTTTTCTCTAATTTGTCAAGTTATCCAGGTGCAAAAAAGATACAGAGGCAAGAAAATAAAATTATATTGAAATACATTAGAATCATCATTGGTTTTAGGAATAAGAGCACAATAAATTATCAGTGTCCTAGAAAATCCAGTTACATGATCAAAATACTTAGCATCCCCAAGTAAAACTTTTTTTTCACTGTACGCTTGTCTATATTTCTCTTTTGGAACTAAGCTTAATATAAAAATGTCCAGCAACAATGATTTCAGTGATTTTTGCAATGACTAAAAAGGAAATAGTGCTAATAATATTGTTTGGTATTGGTCAGGTATTTTTTTTTTTAATCTCATTCACTTTTTTTTCCAGGGTAGTTTATCATGAAGTAGCAGAAATGCTTAGTAGCATAAAATGAGATGTCAAGAATGCTTTTGGAAAACTCATGATTAAAAGCAATTGAAACAATAAAATGTTTTGATAACCTGTTTTCCTTCTGTGTTTTAGGTTCTGAACCTCTTCTTGGCCTTGCTTTTGAGTTCCTTCAGTTCTGACAATCTTGCTGCCTCTGATGATGATAATGAAATGAACAATCTCCAAATTGCTGTGGGACGGATGCAGAAAGGAATCGATTTTGTTAAAAGAAAAATACGTGAATTTATTCAGAAAGCCTTTGTTAGAAAACAGAAAGCTTTAGATGAAATTAAACCTCTTGAAGATCTAAATAACAAGAAAGACAGCTGTATTTCCAATCATACCACCATAGAAATAGGCAAAGATCTCAATTATCTCAAAGATGGAAATGGAACTACTAGTGGCATAGGCAGCAGTGTAGAAAAGTATGTCGTGGATGAAAGTGATTACATGTCATTTATAAACAACCCTAGCCTCACTGTGACAGTACCAATTGCTGTTGGAGAATCTGACTTTGAAAATTTAAATACTGAAGAATTCAGCAGCGAGTCAGATATGGAGGAAAGCAAAGAGGTAAAAATGTTTAAATAAGGACATATTTTGGTGTTACGTATTTCTTTTACTTTAAAATTGTCAGACATTTTAAAATTATATGTTTTCTTCCTGCAAGAATATAGGAAATATCTATTGACACATCTGTTACAAAGTTGGTAATGGCTAAGTTAATAATAGATTAAAATATAGCTAGACAAAGAATATGCTGATTCATTTTTCAAATACCATGTTGAATTATTGATAATAATATACAGATTAATATAAATTTTCTAAGTATTTTATAATAGTTTTAAATTTGTGAAAATGCCTCAGTTTGTCCACTTTCTTCCCTATAATTTGCCCACAACGGTGGTTTTTGTACATATTGAAAAAATACTTTACGGAGAGTAGATCCAGTTCTCATCTTGTTACATTTTTGGCTCTTATCAAATACTTCATAAAATCACATTGGGATGTTGACTTGATATTTACATATTATTTCATGTTTCCTGAAGTCAGCAATTTTTTTTAAGGAAAATAGGTTATTGAGGAGAAATCACACTAAAAGTATGTTTAACCATGCTGAGACCAGTGCTTCCTGTTTTAACAAACAGAAAGTCTTAATATATTCTAGAACGTAAAATTCTGACTTTACCAACTCAGTATTTCTTGGTAGTTTAACGTGTTCTCTGACTTATAAGAAAAGTATGAGTACTAGAGTGTGTTTTTGTTTGTTTGTTTATTATTGTAGGTTAATAAAAGTTGGAGGTAAAGAGATAAAATTTAAAACCTTAATATTTAATTGCTTAACTATATAAAAATGAAGACAAATTTCCCAGAAATTAAAGCTTGCATTAAGAAACAATAACAATAGTCAAAAACAAAGATTTTTCCCTTTCTCATTTTAATTGTTTGGCAGGGAGTAGAAAGGTATCTATTACTGTTATCATTCTTAAAAAGAAAAGATGATACTGAGGAATTTGGGCACTGAAAGGTAAATTTTAAGTAGTTTAACACACTTGTGATAATTAGAGATCAGTTAAATTTATGAGGAAAATATAGTTGTAAAAAGAAAAATAGAAATTTCCGACAGTATTTCTAGATTCATTTGATAAAATTACTAATGAATATAGTATTTTTCTTTCTTGCCTGCTTATAAGGTTGGTAGCATTGCTAAATCAGTGATTAGGTAGAAGTAGATGTTAATGTGAAACATTTAAATATTGGCACTAAATATTAAGATATAAATGGCAAGACCACTAGTTTCACAAAGTAAGAGATTCAAGAAGAAAGTAGTGAAACCTGATAGTCTGGGGGAAAGAATTACTGTCGTTACTGAACTTAAATTTTTACTAACTAGACCATTATTTAAAAATTGAATGATATCTTAAGATTGTGTTAATAAAATTTGGGTTGAGCAAAGTTAATTGGGTATAATACTTATGCTGTAAGTGTGGAGTGGCCCAATTTCTTATATCATTTACAACTAGAAGCTGAAGTCAGTATTTAGAAAATAGAATTAGGACATTACCATTTTAATGCATATTTTCCTCTCATTATTTTGACAGTATATCAAATAGTGGATATTTCCCTTATAGTCAGTTTTTATTTTCATATGTTTATTTTAGGGTGTCATAAATTAAGGGTGAACTATGAAGAATCAAATGTTGAAGCCATCAGATAGTCTAATCTTTTATTTAGCTAGTTTTGAGTACCTTTTGAAGTATGCTTAACTTGACACGCATTCTTCCTAACTTTCAGAAATGTTAAAGCCTCACGCTCTCCAAAAGAACATGTGTTTTGCCTCATCTCTTAGTTAACTCTGAATTAAGTACTCCAAAATAATGTTTGTGAACTCAGTGTATCAGAATTGGAGGTTTAGAACCCATCTGCCAGTTGGAAGCAGAAGGAATTATATTATTGAACTGTGGAATCCCTTCAGTACTTTCCCACCATAGAGATTATTACCTTAGTGTTAGAGGTTATTTGAAGGAACTATTAATTCTGGCTTTATATCAAACTTTCTAGATATAAATTTAAAAACTAATGAAGGATTAGGATAATAACCTAGGAAAGGAATTTGTGTAAGTATTAATCTTTCAGAATTTTACTTGGTAGCTCTATACTAGAAAATGAAAGAGAATTGAAACAATTATTGAAGAATTTCAAACACTAACGCTTGAAATGTATTTTAGTATTTCTCTTCTGGTCATTTTTTTTTAAACTGGTGGGATGGGGTTATGCTGTTAAATATCACACAAAGAGTAGTCAGAAATGGTACAAGGCTTATTGCTATTACCTTCTAAATAATTTTTTTTGACTAAAGAAACAAATGAGGCATTTTCCTTTATAAGGTTGGCTAATTGAGTAAACTCAGGTTGTTTAGATGTTTAAAATAAGTCCTTTGCTATGTCTTTGCCAAATGTGTGTGAGTCTTTGACAGTTTTCAGTATATTCTATAGAAAGTGTCATTTAAAATTCATGCCACAGTCATGTGTGCTTTAACTTTTAAGTTATTTTGATTATTGTTAATGTAATTTCTTTTGTGATTTTGAATGATTGATTTTTCTTTTAGAGTTTCTAATAATGTTGAAGCCATACTTGAATGATTATTTTTCGAAGTGAAATTTAGTCGTGCAATATGGTGACCTTCACTGCTTACCATTCTTACTTCTCACAGGGGTAAAATCAAGCTGGAGCCATCAAGAATGCAGCTCTGGTGTTTTTTAACCAGCCAAAGGCTCGTGCCACCACTTTTACCCAGGTTACCCAAGCAAGTTGTACATATATAAATATAATCAGTTTCTAAATGATTTTTGACTGGCCTGCATGTCACTCAGCTATGTTCCTTGCCCATCCATTGGCAGTAACTAAAAACATGCACAGCTGCTATTACGCTGAGTCATTTAAAGCATGGTCAGGCAAGTCTGACAACCCTAACTTAAAAAAATTAAATTTAGCTGCTAATTTTCTTAAATAGATTTTAACAAAACTTATATTCAATGGAAAATAATATTGCATGCCTTTTGGAGTATTTAATTTCCATTTAATGTTACAGAGTTTTGAACATACTAAGGGGCTAAAAGAGAAATGTAGGTGCTCTTTGAAAAATTTGCAGAAAAGCTGTCTGTCCTCCACCTTTAAAAATATGTGTATAACCCCAGTGAGTGTACTTTGTTGGTATTTTTTAAATTTAGTATCATATTAAGTTTTTCTGAAGGATAATCTGCAAATTAAAGCAATCCTTTATATGCAAATTTTCAAAAGGATATTTTAATGTGATAATAATGTAAATGAGTTGGAATGTTTATGTTTTGATTGTTAGCTGCATGGATATAATTTTTATCTGCTTCATTTTAGGGAAAATGGAATTGCTTTATTTAGCAATTGACCAAAAGTATTTTGCATTTAGAACATAATTCCCTTGGACATTTTGTTTATATTTACCTCTAAAACTCCTAGACTGAAAGAAAAGGAAATAAATATTTCATATACCAAGTAATAGTAAGAACTACAATGATCTTGAAAGGCTTATAAATGGTGTACTTATCCTGAAGATAGATCTAGTATCCACCTTCATCCTGTTGACTCTTCAATGCTTTGTGGGTTTTCTCTCCTCTCTAGTTCATCTAGACCTGCTGGGAAACTTCCTCCTGAAGAATATTATTTAAATTTGTCATTATCTGCAAACTCCTATATAGGGAGAGAATCATAAGCTCTTGCTCCTTTGGTATTTTTAAAATGAAAGGACTTCCCTTATTATGCGACTATAACAATAAGTATAACACCATTCTATGCACTCCGTTTAGTGGACTATTCATTTCCTGATCACAGTTTTATGCAAAAATATGTTAACTGATTTCATCATTTTAAAAGAAATGTTAATTAAATACTTCATCACATAGATGTAGTTTCCCTCTCCTTCTGCCATTAAAACTGTAAAACAACGCTAATGTAAGCATATTTGGCTTTTTGAAAGAAGCAGTGATCTTGCTGGATCATTCCTGGATCATTCTTTTATACCTTGAAACAAAATATTCTATCACTGGCACTCCAGATTCGTGAAACATAATGCTTATATATTGGAGCAGTGGTATATAAAATGAGATCCAAGGTGTGTAATTGTTCACACTTAAACACAGATGCACATATACTAAAGGACTAGAGGAAATTATTTTTTTCCTATTATGTGCTAGTTTTTCAGAAAAGTGTGAAATCTGGGCTCTTTAGGATTATGACTTATTTTTCCCAGTTTCTTGAAAAGAGGCAAGGTTATTAGTCTTTGAGTATCCCATTTGTCAAGTTCTTGTGTAGGAAGATGTTTGAAAGCAACAATCAGAAAATTATCTATTAATGTATCTAGGAATTTTAGCTGGAGTAAATGCGGTGGAATACAAACTAAGCAGGAACTAGTTTTTTTATTCTTAGCCTTCACATTATTGCAATTTCTTATTTCCTTTAAAAAGTCTCAGATCCTCCTTCAGGAAACACTGTCCACTCCCTAAAAGAATATACTAAATTTCAATACAGGAGATTGGAAGGGGGACAAAAGGTTTGAGCAAGCAATGGTGGATGGGCTCAATAGGAACCCATCTATGATTTTATCTTGTGTGGTCCTGATGGGAAGTTTTCCAGTGGGATAGTGATTAAAGAGGGGAAAAGGTTCTAAATATTTTTAATATAAGAACAAAATGAGCCAAAAACTTATATCTTTGGGGCATGGTAATCTAATGAGGGGTAAACCATCATGACATAAGAGTCCCTCTTGCTATTCCAAGAAAGATGAAAAATCTTGCGATTTTTGTTTTCAAAATCTTTATAACATATCCATTGTAAACACTAAAATCACTCTCTAGATAATATAGTATAATGAGAATGATTATTTTGACTTTGCTATCTTTCTTATTAAAAAATAACACCAACAATTCATTTCTAATATGAATGTTTCACTCTGGCCTTAAGCCCATTCAAAACAAGCAAGACCATCACTTTCATTGTTCTGTTGTTAACATTTTTTATATAAAATGACCTAGAGCTCC